GTCCGCTTTGGCGGATTGCTGTCTGCTTTGCTCTTGTTTGCTTTGAGGAACTTCGGGTTAGTTGATTTTGGTTTTTATTCCTGGTATGTTCAGTTTCATGAAGAAAAGAGAGGGAGGGAGTGCAAGAGAGGGAGGGAGGGAGGCTGGAATGAGTACAGCAGGAAGAAAATGATGCTTCTGCCTCTTTGCTTTGTGCTTCCTTGCTACAACTTTGTGCTTCTACCATTTTAAAGTTGATATTTCTTTTTTATTGTTCCAAGTGAATGTGCATTTATACATTGTTATTTACAAAGCACATTTTCTTATTTTAAAACACGTTAAAATTGGTGGGGTTTGGGGGGGGGGCATGACACATTTGTTTATTGCAAGTAAAGACAGACATTCAGAAATGGGGGTAGAGAAAGTAGGGGTGAGCTAGTTTTTGTGGAATGGGAATGCTTGCCCGCACTAAAACTGTTAACTCTTAAGCACAGACATGCAAGCTCACCAGTTGTGGTGAATATTCCTATAGCAGTCAAACTTCACATCGCAAGAATCCTATTGAACTTTAGATCATGGTGCTGGCTGTTGAAAGCTTAGCAGACCAAAACTGGCTGCATTGATTTTTTATACTTTTTAAATTGGTTTAGGCTGTCTTCCTTTTCCAATGAGGCCAAGCAACACAGATAAGGTCATTCCCATCTCACCGTTATCTGAAATATGAACAAGGTTCTTTCCTCATTTTTGAGCTCAATGAAATGCTCTGAGATATTTATTTAACTGGTTACCTCACATTTCCTTTTGCCGATTGTCATTCTTCTCTACCAATAGGATGATTTAGCAGAAATGCTGTATTTTAATTTTCAGCCAAATCGCCAGCCTCTTGCTCTCATTCACCATCTCTTTTTTTCTGGGCCCCTTCCAACTCTTGTATTATCAGGAAAAAGGAAACCAAATGTTGATGTGACTTCTCAGATAAAAGCAATGTGTTGTATCCCTGATGCCTTCATTTCCCAAACTGCCTGCCATTCTAGTTTGTTGTGCTCTGGAAGGGATGAATGGATGCCAATGGCCTTGGATCTCACACTCCACCTGAGTCCCCTTCCTAAAGCTTTGATCTTCTTTCCTGGCCTACTAAATTCCTGCACCCAGCAGCTTCCTCTAGGTTTTCCTCCTCAGCCGGCTTTATTTTGCAGCCTCTATTTCAGGTATACAGAAACAGTTCAGGTTGCTGGTAATGGGGCCCCAATTTGAATTGGAACTAAATACATTTGTTTATATCGGGTCCATCCCTGCTAGGACAAATTCATGTCAAACTTATCCCAATATCTTGGGGGAATTTGCACTTTCATTTCTCTGATCACCACTTGTATAGATATGACATGAGATTAATAGAGTCTTTGTGTTTACAGTTTGGGACTTCTTCGGTCTACTTCATAGAATCCTAGAATCATAGAGTTGGAAGAAACCGCGTGGGCCATCTAGTCCAACCTCCTGCCAAGAAGCAGGAAAATCACATTCAAAGCACCCCTGACAGATGGCCATCCAGCCTCTGTTTAAAAGCCTCCAAAGAAGAAGCTCCACCACACTCCGGGCAGAGAGTTCCAATGCTCTCACAATCAGAAAGTTCTTCCTCGTGTTCAGATGGAATTTCCTTTCCTGTAGTTTGAAGCCATTTTTCCGTGACCTAGTCTTCAGGACAGCAGAAAACAAACCTACTCCCTCCTATGACTTCTCCTCACATATTTATGCATGGCCCTCATTATGTCTCCTCTCAGCATTCCCTTCTGCAGGCTGCTCCTCATAGGGCTTGTTCTCCAGACCATTGATCATTTTAGTCGCTCTCCTCTGGACACATTCCATCCTGTCAACATCTCCCTTCAATTGCAGTGCCAGAATTGGACACAGTGTGATTCCAGGTATGGTCTCGTCTGACTGAAACAGAATAGAGGAGTAGAATGACTTCCCTGGATCTAAACACTAGACTTCTATTTATGCAGGCCAAAATCCCCCCCCCCTTTTTTTTTTGTGGTGCTGCATGACATTGTTGGCTCATGTTTAACTTGTTGTCCATGAGGACTCCAAATCTTTTTCACACGTACTGCTGTTAAGCCACGCGTCCCCCATTCTGTATCTTTGCATCTCATTTTTTCTACTTAAGCAAAGTATCTTGCATTTTTCCTTGCTGAACTTCATTTTGTTAGTTTTGTCCCATCTCTCTAATCTGTCAAGATAATTTTGAATTCTGCTCCTGTCCTCTGGAGTATTGGGTAACCCTCCCAATTTGGTGTAGTCTGCAAATTTTATGATCATGCCCTCTAACCGTTCATCTAAGTTATTAATAAAAATGTTAAACAGGACTGGGCCCAGGACAGAACCCTGTGGCACTCCGCTCGTCACTTCTTTCCACGATTAAAAGGAAGCAGTGGTGAGCACCCTTTGGTTGATACCATTTTCTTTAAACAAAAAAAAACAACCAAAGAAGCAATGTCCTTCCACTGTGAGTAAAGACAAATCTTGAGGGGGGGGGGGGGAGAGAGATTTTGTGGAAATGAAAACCAAGTCAATATCCTTGAAAAACAGAGTGTTCTCTGATCACGACTTGCAACAGGAACACAGTGTCAATTTATAATGTTTGGATGTGTCGTTCCATTCTAGCCTATTTTAGGCATTCACTCAAAACCAGTGGGGGGATACTTCACAGGTGTATTACCTGTATTGTTCCTTTCTTTGGAAAGATGTTACATAACACAGTTTGAAGTAAAAAAATAGGTCCCTCAAGACTGGCCAAGAGATGTAACCCTTGACTTTTATATCCAAGTTGGGCAAAATGAAAAGTCCATGGCTTTAATCACAGCACATTCCTGGGGAATCATAGCAGGGTTTTGTATTATGTTAAAAGTTGTTTTCCCTTTGCTGATGGGGGTGGGAGAGAGAGACTTTGTCACTCCTGCTTCCTTTTGTACTTAGATCAAATGTATCAAAGCTTTGTAGTTCCACCAGTCTGCTTAAAGGATGCAACTTTGCTCTGTCTGTGCCTATGAATTGGCTGGACTCTTGGTTTAGCTTGAGTTGGTGCCAGGGGAGTGAAAGCCCATGGTAGCATGTTTGTTTCATCATTTTTGGCAGCAGCTCTGGGCCTAAATAATTGCATCTCTCTTTAACAAGGGATTAAAGCAGTTTCCCTATAAGGGAAAACAATAACTTTATTAATAGCATGACCCCAAAGATATTGTTCTCCCCTTCTGCAGAAAGTAGAATGTAAGATCGCCAAAGAAAGCTGACACTTCCTATGGTGATCCTACAAAGGAAGAGTTTGATGAATGACTAGAGAAAGGTAGCTTGTATTGTTGAAGGCTTTCATGGCCAGAATCACTGGGTTGTTGTTGGTTTTTTGAGCTGTATGGCTATGGTCTAAGAAGCATTCTAAAGCATACCTCTTTAAACATGTTTTACACAGACGCAAAGTCCCAAACCAAAAAACATCAGTTGTGAAAAAAACCTTCAAGCCAGCAAACTAGAGATTTTCAAGGTAAATCTCACTTTCCATGTTATAGTTTATTTCCATATTTATTCTTTCCAAAACTTCCGATAAAGAAGCACATATATAATAAGGACAAAAATTCCCACCAGTTCAACTGTCAGTTTTCTGAAATGATGTCAGATCTGCACTCATTGGAGCCCTGCCTCTTGCAAGATGATGTGCAAAGGGAAACACAAAACTGGTTTGTGATCAGGAAACATCTGGCCAACCTTTTCATTCTCAAGCAGGTCATTGGCCATTTTCAGAGCTAATGGAACAGAAAAGTGTGGGAAGATGGAGACAGAGCTCTCAAATATCACACAATCTGGCAGGCAACTGTAGAACATGAAAAAGATGAGGAAATCTGGTTTTTGGGGGGCTTGCTTAGAAACTGCAGCATGTGTTCCTAATTTTTAGTATCCAGTGCTGCATTTCATGCCTAGGATCCAACTGCAACAGGAATAGAAAACAGATCTCTGCAAACCTGGTAATGATTTGGCTCCTCCAAAGCTATTTGTTGAATCAATTAGACACTGGATGAACACTAAGATCTAACTCCTACTGAACAGGAAAAATATAAGGCTTTTAGAGTATGACATCCATATCTGCAGGGAATACGTTCCAAGGCACACACACACGAACACCTAACCCCATGAATAATAGTAATTTCTATGCTTTGACTTGGACCAGATGCATACCATAGGATCCTACTTGTAGACCTAGAGAAGACCACAAACACTTAACCCGTTGGTGGTGCAACGGGTTAAACCACTGTGCTGCTGAACATGCTGACTCAAAGGTTGGCAGTCCAAATTCGAGAAGCAGGGTGAGCTGCCACTGTAAACCAACCTAGCAATTTGAAAACATGCAAATGTGAGTAGATCAATAGGTACCACTTCAGCAGAAAGGTAACAGCGCTCCATGCAGTCATGATGGCTACATAATCTTGGCGGTGTCTACAGATAATGCGGGCTCTTTGGCTTAGAAATGGAGATAAGCACCACCCCCCAGAGTCAGCCATGACTTAATGTCAGGAGAAACCTTTACTTTTACTTAAGACAAATTGTGGATATTGAACCTTTGGATAAGAGGGTCTTATTATATTTTACAGTTCTGCATGCTACTCCTCAATCAAATGCAGAATCTTGATGCAATGTTGGTTCCTTTCTTAATTCCAAGGGAGGGTATAGCTCTTGGACACAAAACTCCAGGAGCCTTTTGGGTGATCAACCGTGTGTGCACATCAGAACCCAAATGTTTAAGAAAGACAATTAGACTCGGGAGGGATCCATATGTTGATTTGCTCAAAAGTTTATTTATTTAAAAAAACACATCAAACAGATGGAAAATGAAAAACAAAAAGTTTAATATGTTCCATTTCATATGCCTGGGAACTCACATGGCTCATGATTACCATCCCAGAAGGCAAATGTTACTCAGTGATGTGTCAGGTTTGACAATCCATGAAAGTATCCAGCTTTGGAAAGAACATCTTTAAACTCTCTGTTTGGTTTGAATTCAGGAAGAAGTTTTCCTCTTGCGATAAGTAAGGCATGCTTTTTGCATGCTTCTTAAGAAATTAGGCACTCCAGTCTGTAAGAAGAATGGCATTGCAGTTATCCCTCTGTAAATTATGGCCTACAAAGCAATGACTAATTCAATAGGGTTCATTATTTTAGCTGTGTTCCCCTACCTCCCACCTACCCTATACAATAAAAACCGGAGGATCCAACAAATGTAGGCCCCCTTCTACACTGCCATATAATCCAGATTATAAAAGCAGATAATCTACAGTATCTACATTGAACTGGATTATATGAGTCTACACTGCCATATCAATTTGAACTGCCATCCAGTTCAAATCAGATAATCTGGATTTCATATGGCAGTGTTAGTGGCCTAAGTGTCCATTAATACTGCCATATGAAATCGAGGTTATCTGCTTTGAATTGGATTAAATGGCAGTGTACACATATAATCCAGTTCAAAGCAGATAATCTGGATTTTATATGGCAGTGTAAATTGAGCCTTAGGCCCCTTATACACTGCCATATAAAGTCCAGATTGAGATACATCCATCTGTCAAAGCTGGGACAAGCAGAGAGAGATGTAAGCTAGTTAGGGTCAGACAGAATTTAGATGTTTTAAGTAAATAATCTTTTGACCGTCTCCTGATTTAATAAACAATTTTTGTATTATACCTTTGGGCCTCTGAAACAGTACAATAGTGCTATAGGGTGTGGATGAGTGAGGCAGCAATGGACAAGTGAAGTCTCTCACACAAGAACCCTGGGTGCATCTAGAACAAGTGGATAACTTTCACAAGGGATCATGATGAACAGGTGAAAAAAGTCAAAAGATATGGACTAAATTCACAAATAAATTCACAAATTAAGTAAATCAAAGTATATTTAAAGATCTACAACAGCAAGACGGCAACAGTGCTGTGTGCACTCACATGAGCATAATGATTCAGTTATAGGTTACTGCAAACAACTATTGTTGGGAGTCAAAACATCTGTTATGTAGGAAAGACAAACCATAGTGCAGGACAGACATATATAAAAAGAGTAGCATACCAGTGATTTATTTCTATGCCAAAAAGATTTTGGAGTCAGTTTCTCACACTAGCAAGCACATGGCTGTGGGTAATGGAATGAAAATAAAAAACAATCTGGATTGTTGCTCTAGGCTCCCCTCTTCAACTTCCAATAATTAATTTTCCCAGCAGAGAATTAAGTAAGACCAATCATTGATATTGTTGGCATCCTAGAGGTTCCAACACTTTGCTTACCTTGGTTGCCCAGTTGACAAGCCAGGAAGGAAGCTTGCCACCAGGATCATCAAAGTAGGACATGAAAACTTTAAAACAAAATGGAGAGAAATAAACAAAATGCAGTCAATGATCTTCCATTTTAGAATGAACATTTTTTCTTTTATGTTCACTTGATGGATACCTCAACAGCACATTAAATTTCAGACTAGGACCAGATGTTGTCTGAATCCCATGTAAAATTCAATGAAGTAAGGCCATGCTAAATGTTTCATTCGGGACCACGCTAGGTTTCTAGATAGCTTTAAAAAACCAGGGGCATCTAGAACCTATCTTTTTATTACTGTTATAGATTTTTCACTTTTCCAGTAAATGGTAACAGGTATTTACTAAAGCACATTATTTCTGAACAGCCTGTACATATCTATCCATTTTTCCCTCTCACCCCAGAAAACCTTCCTCCTCTTTCTGCTCGACAGCACAAAATGTTTACACATTCAAAAGCTGATCCAAGTTTGAATTGCACATTATCCAAGTATGAATTGCACATTATCTAATCCCAAGGCAAAAGTTGCAAAAGGCCAAGGTGAAAACAATGTTTTCCCCCACTGCCATCTCTCCAGCAAACATTTTATATGTACATGCCTTGTACAAATAACATTGAAAAGTCTTATGAAAATCTTTGTAAAGGTCATTCCTAGTTTATTGCAGCAAAGAAATGTTTCTAAGAGCATTTCACCGCTGCTGTTTGCTGGTTCCCTAGAGGTTGCTGGCTAGACAATCCCATATTCTTCTCTGTCATGCAGTATGGGCAAGAAGCTGAGAATGCAACAACAAATGCATTTTCCCTCAAAACTGAATTTGAAAGAACTTTACAGAAAATTGGTGTGGGATACTTGTTCCCATCAGCAAAACTACAGTATCAGATTCAGATTCAGATTCAGAAGATACCTAGAAGCTTATTATGTCAATGCTATTTGAAATGATAGTCTTTGGGTCAATAAAACTAACACTGCTACCTCACACCAATGGCTTTAACCCATTATGAATATGTTAAAAACCACTGGCTCCGAAACAAATATTTTGGGGGACTAGTCAAGTCTTCCATTACACCATCCAATCCTAACTTAGAAATGTAAAAAAAATTATTCTAGGTAGATATAACTAAACATTTATTGATTTCTTACCTTTGGACCCTTTCTTGCCATCACTTTGAAAGGCCACACTTTGTCTATAATTCTTTACCCTAACAATCCCATTCTTTTCTGGGAATTTAGGAGAACTGGCACTTTTAGCCAATATGACATAGAGCTTCTGTCCATCAACTTCCATATCTTGACGCTCATGAATAAAAACATACTGAGCTAAAGTTGAAGAACTAATCAGGATTTTAAAATATAACAGAAATTACAGAAGTACAATATGTATTGATGTGGAGAGAGATCACACCTACCGTATATTCCGGCATATAAGACGACTGGGGGTATAAGACGACTCCTAACTTTTCTAGTTAAAATATAGAGTTAAGACGACAGCCATGCATAAGACTACACCCGCATATAAGACGACCCCTGACTTTTGAGAAGATTTTCTTGGGTTAAAAAGTAGTCTTATACGCCAGAATATACTGTATATTAAAACATTGTGTAGAAGAAATGTTTTTCTCAACAATACACATCTAGGTCCTATTTTTTCAATGGTTCTCAACCTGTGGGTCTCTAGGTGTTTTGACTTACAACTCCCAGAAATCCTAGTCAGCTGACCAGCTGTTAAGATATCCAGGAGTTGAAGGCCAAAACATCTGGGGACCCACAGGTTGAGAATCGCTGTTATAAGCATTCATTTGTCCCTAACTTAAACTATCAGAACCATGTTGTAAACAATTAAGACCTGCATCACAGTTTGCAGCTACAAATATTAGAAGCAAAACTTTAATTGGTGGAGTGTTGTGTGGTTTCACATCCTCTGAGATGCCAGCCAAAGATGCAGGCAAAATGTCAGGAGGAAATGCTGCTAGAACAACCCCTACAGCCCGGAAACCAAAAACACTCAAGTGATTCCCTTCGACAATACATAAAACTTTAATCCAAAACTTGAAAGGATACATCTCTGTTTGTCAAGGGGAAAGGGAACTTCACTTCCCAGTGAATCACTGTTCTGCCATCACGCGTGTCTTCATGTAGCTCTAGAAATTAGAGGATGAACACATTAGATTGTGTTTGACTTAGCTATGGACTATGAAACATACGTGTGTATAAAACCAGACTTCAGTCAAACCCAAGGGAGAGTCGATTGCTTGTCAAAATGCAACAAAAGACAGTATATAGTTGAAACCAAGCAGAAGTCAACATCTGAGGCAGCAATCAAGGAACAGGACAGGAGCCAAGGCAGGGCTCTCATTCCAGAGGCAAACTTCTCAATTGTGAATCTAGGGATTTATGCATATGTAATCCATACATTACAGGTGGCCCTTTTCAGAGGTCTTAAGGGTGCAGGAGCCTCGCAAAAGTGGGAAAAAACCAAACATCTAATGATTTCCCAAATGTTACGTAGGACACACAAAAAGTCCCTGTATTGGTAGAGTCCCCCCCCCCCGACATGCTCCCTTGCCAGGCATGTAGCCAGGGGGGGCCTTGGGGGGCTTCAGCCCCCCGCCGAAATTCTCATGGTGGTCTGTGAGAAGGCCTTACTGGTACATTTTTTAAACTGTTATGTTTATTCATATCATGATCTGATCACCATGCTCAATATATCCCATATGCATGGGGGTATTGGGGTAACGATACAAAAGGTTTGCTAGGGTAGACCCTCTTTCACTCAGACTCAGCCCCCCCCCCCAAATCAAACTCACCCCCCCCCCCCCCGAATCAAAATCCTGGCTATGGGCCTGTCCCTTGCACATCCATCCATCAAAGTGAATGAGTATGTAAGGGAGTGCATACATTGTTCATTCCTGCCAAACCACCACTTCTATTTCCTCTCAATGAACAATGGACACCAGAGGGAGGATAGAGATACGTAACTCAAGTTTTCAGTAGCATCTCCATTAATCCTCAATGCTTTTGTATACCTGGGAATGCAGGGAGAAAAAAAATCAGTAGTGGTTTCTTTTCTGATTTGAACTTACATTACCTTACCATTGTGTGTATCATATTACTCTAAAAATATATAAAATACGGTTTTTAAAAACATTTCTATAGAAGTGTTATAAAGTATTGACATAATAGTTCTTAGTATTATGGCATCTTTTCCTTCAGAAAAAAGGTCACATCATGGCTTTGGGACCAAGCATTCGGGCAGCTGACTGAACAGTAACTGCAATGACTCTTGGAAATGTATAATAGATAGACCTCAGCCCTGGAACTTTGGACTCTGACTTGGATTTGAGATTGGGCTTGGCTATGTTTTAATATTTTAAAGTTCTGATGTTGTAATGTATATTTAGAATTAATTGTCTGTTTAATGTTAATTTGTATTGTGACTGCTTGTTAGCATCTAATGGCTGCCAGTTGTAAGCCGCCCTGAGTGCCCCCTCGTGGGGTTGAGAAGGACGGGATATAAATGTTAGAAATAAATAAATAAATTGTGCCATGTCACTGATAAATAAAGTAAAACATCCATCTTCAGTAGGTATCAAACATAAAAGAAATACCTTATGACAGCTTCCACGCAATCTAGGTAATGATTTTTTTTACCTTGATTTTTATCCTGCCTTTCTCCAAAACAGGGTCTCAAGGCTGCTCAACACTGAAACATAGACTTATTTTTATACAAATAAAATACCATCAGTTGGGTTATGCAACCTAATCCAAAAGAGGTAACAGATATCCTCAAAATATAGAGCTTTCCCCTAAATAATGTCCTTTCCTTTACTAACTAGAACAGACAGCCTCAATACTCATGGGTCATATCTTAATGGGGAGGGGGGCATATCCTGAATTTTGGTATAATCAACATTATTAGGTCACTAACTAGCTATGAAAAAGCAGACAAAAGTATTGCTATAATATTATTTGTTACAATTGACTTGTTTTCAAAATTTTGGCCCAAGGCAGTATACAGCATTTAAAATAATACATCTAAAAGTAATAGGTCACAACTCTCAAAAACACAGTGTAGCTGATTCCTTCATAAAAGAGTGAACGAGGAGAGAAATATTTTTTGGAAATGATTACTGAAAAATAGGTAGAGGCCAGGCTTGTTTGAAGATAGTGTTTTAAAACCGCAGTGCCATGGAATATTCATAGGGGATGGAAGTAGGCACTACATAAGATGTTTTTCTTTCCCACTAAAAAAAGAATTCTGTCCTCAGCAATTTTATCAGGTGCACCAGTCTACCCACCCATGCCCAGAAACTGATTTTTATGGCAGATTCATTGGTTGTTGGTTGATGTTTGCTTTTATATTTTGTTATAATTCTGGTTTTATTCTGTTTCATGCTGTCGTTATGCATTTTAATGTGTCATATTTTAACTACATTGAATAGATTTGTCCCATGTAAGCTGCTCCGAGTGCCTTCGAGAAGATGGAGGAGGGGTATAAAAATTAAATTATTATAGAAAATCATTGTTTGCCTGATAAACCACTTTGTGGTGTGTGTGTGCGTGTATGTGTGTGTGTTTTACAAAATGCAGAAATGATGAAATACAGAATGATTTTGCTAATGATACACTTGTCAAACAGCCAATATGCTTCTTTTGAAAAAAAAAAAAGAAAGGGGTCTATTGGCAAAATAACAAATTGTTTCTCAGGAATATCACACAACCTACATCATTTTCTAAGTAATGTGAGTAATGTGAGCTACATCATTTTATAAGTAATGTGATCTGTCTCAGAATGCAATAAGATGCCACAGAATATCACATTTTCCACCAGAGGTCACTGGAGTATTAACTTAGTGCCATTAGGCATCCTATTCAGTTTCTTTCTTAAGCTGTAAAAAAAAAAAATCAAATTCAAAAGTGAAGGCGTGAGATGGAAAAGTCCTATCTCATAGATCCAATTTAAGGGATAATAGAGAAGCACTTCTTCAAATAATAGGGTGAGTTCATTCTTCATTTTAACAGATGATTTTTGTTCATAAGAAACTTATACCATTTGATAAGACATGACACTTTCAGGTCATTCCATTATTCAGTTCGCTCTTTCTCTCTGTGTTCATTACATCCTCTTTCCCAGCATGTGGGAAGGAACTACGGATTGAGACGGGGTTGCTGGTTGACATGTCAGGTATCTCTAATGTTTTTCATTCTACAGCAAGCTTCCTGTCATATGATTTCTGGTGCATCTAATGTCTTTATTCACCTCTTATCATAAATTAAAAACATGTTTTGAAAAGTGTTCACGTCCTTTCCAAACATTTCACTATCAGGAAAGCAGATGGTAAATGCTGTCTATTTGAATTTTTTTAAAATGTTCAGTAACAAGCTGCAATTATTAATACTACATAGATACTTCTGTTCGTGTATGGAGACATTTCAGCTCTGGCTTTCCAGTGGTAACCTTCTGTCATACTATAACATAACATAAATAAGGAACTTTGGGAGGAGTTATCTAGGAGAAAGGCACCAAATCCCATCCCATCTTAAAAACTAAATAGTCATCCCTAATTAGAACTTAGATGTGAGACAACCATTGTATATCAGTTGCTGTAAGCTATATTTCAGGGAATATTTCTGAATATTCATTCATTCATATTTCTGAATATTCATTCCCTTAAAAAAAAACTATGAAAATTATGGGGTCACCTAAGTCAACAGGTGATTTGATGGTACACACACAAACCACTGAGAAGCTTGGGCCTCTTCCACACAGCTGAATAAAATCCCACATTTTTTTGCTTTGAACTGGAATATATGGCAGTGTGGGCACAGATAACCCAATTCAAAGCAGATACTGTGGGATTTCTTGCCTTGATATTCTGGGTTATATGGCTGTGTGGAAGGGCCCTCAGTCAGACTAAGATCTCACCTCTCTCTGTCTACATGAAGAGTTTGAACACTTGTTCAAGTGCAGGTAGGAACATGCATTGGAATCCTGCCCATAGGTTTTGGTATGCAGTCTGATATTTCAATAATTAATAGCTACAAATGTTAGAACAAATTAACATGGTCGATCATGGAAATGTTCACATTGGGAAAAGTATCCTTTTTAATAGTTTTCTTTGAATAATGAATTTAACAGGGTATGTAATTTGGTCTCTAGTATTCCTTAATGTTATATACATCCTTAACCTGCAAAGTCTGAGGGAGGTACAATATATTTAGTACACATCAAAACATTTTGGTTTTCGCCCAAAACATCCAGTCTTTAGAATTAAGGCATACACAGGAAACATATCAGTATCTGCCTTTCTAAAATATATAATGCACAACACTAATCTGAAACAGAACAGATGTTTCATGTTAATCTTACCAAATTTCAAAATATGTGCAATATCCTACAAATGCAACACTGAGGCATTTACAGGACAAGACATTTACAACCTCTTTCCCATCATGTCAGGACCACAGGTTTATCTCACCTTCTTTTGTGTCTGTGGTGGACTAATGTAAGAAGATAATGTACATTTTCTCATATTTCTTGTTGCAGTTTGAAATCAATCAGGGGAAATATTAAAATAAGATGCTATTTGCAACAAATGGTTATCTGACATTATTTAATGATGCCAAGATCAGTGTGCTACTCTAACGTTTTGCAAAAACAAAGGAAAAAAAAACCTCCAAATATACCAAAGTATGTATAGGAAGCTAAATCATCACTTCCAAAAAAGTGGAAAGCCTGAGATAGATAATTATCCAAACTTTGGGATAGCTGTATAAGCATTCATTTCTATAAAAATAACATTCTTTCTACTATCTATGCACCACCCTAGGCAGCTTACTACACTTTAAAATCCTTTTATCATAGAGTACAATTAAGAAATGTTGAAAATGCAACTGAAGTAGACACACAGATGAACATTATTTTGACATAATACTTAGAGTAGCAAATCCTACTGGAAGAAAAGGAATCTGAACCAGGAAGTGAATCATACTGTTTGACTGATAAAGTATTTCACAACATTGATTCAACCACATTATAACCAACTGCAATTTCCAAAGACTCTTCAAAGAATTTCTAAATACTGTTGGAGTGCAACTCTCAGCATTCTTCACTGTTTTCTATTCTGACTGAGAGAATTGTGATTTGCAGTCCAACAATAGTTGTATGAGCTCAACTCTCATTCCAATGCATAGAAACTGCAATATAACAGAGCAGAACTTCTGTGTTCATCTCTGCCATTTGTAAATTAATTAAGTTGGTGTTCAAGCAAAACTGTGAAAAAATTCTAACAGAATCAAGGTAATTTCCAGCAGAATTCAATATATTCTTCTACTTCACATGTACCTAACTTGCTGCCATATTTCAACTAACATGATACTGAGCTTGAGCTCATGCAAAATATATGAGAAATTCTGACAAATACTGAAACAATTTAAATTCCATCAGTGGGTCTTTATATACTGGTGTTCCCGCATCTACAGTCTGTTCAACTTATTTGAAAGTAATGATGTCGAAGAATCCTAGAAATGATCATGGTTGGAGGAAGGAGAAGAGAAAAATATGAACAATTGAAATTATGTTTATCCTTCTTAATGACATTTCTGAGTTAATGACTAACCTTTAAGAAACTCATCCCATTTTATTCTGTAGTGTAAATCCATATAAACATCAGCGCACAGGTCAGGGGGACAATTTTCAAGCGTTCCGTAGATTTTATACTCATATAGTCCTGATTTCTGGAGAAATAAATAAACAGAAAAGTTAGATGGAGGCAGTTGGAAAATCAGAAGTGTCCATGATTACCTCAAACATTTGCTTTTTAATACCTCCAGACAGTGGCTGAGTCACCTTTGGGCTGATATGGGCGGGATACAAATGTTGTTGTAAATAAATATTTTCTTTGTGCATCAACAGCTCAAACATATAAAAGGTGCTCTGAGATGTTTATTTGAAAGAAAAAAATGAACTCATTGCATAAAGATCTTGATGAGTATTTTAAATATATTGTCACACAATCAATAGTTTGTGTGACATTGGATGAACAGTATTTTTATTTTCTATCCTCCCTGCCCCACAGTTCTCAGAGAATCTCAAAATCTACTTTAGTAGGCCCCTCAAACTCTGTAAAATATTTAAGTGCCATGAAAGGATATGGGGAAATCTGGCTGGATCTACACTCCCATGTTATATAGTTAGAAATGTATTATGTGATCAATGTAGACCCGTTAATGGATTCTGAACTGCATTATATGGAGTGTAGATCCAGTCTAAGGAACAGGGATAAGCTTTGCCCATTATACCAGTCAATGGAAAAATGAACACAATAAGTACAATCTCTCTCTGGGCTACAATTTTTATTTTATAATTTGAAACTTGAAATCAACCAGTTTACCGAAAGCAATTTATCCTACACAAAACTGAATGTGTACACTGTTGCCCTCTTTTCCTTTTTCAAACATCTGTGTATGTCCTATATACAAACGGGATGTAGATAAGATTAGAGACTACCATAAAATGAAGATTTTATTTCCAACTAAAATACAATTCTTCAAAAGAAACTGCAGCATGGATTAGATTTCTACTATGATGCTCAACTGTAACATTAAACACACTGTACATACACAATTATTCTTATATTGCAATTCCTCAAACTACCTCATGCCCCAGATGAAAAAATCTTATAATTTCTCTCAACACCCCTCCACCCAATATCATATTTAAACAACAAAATGGGCACAGGATTAAACTTAGATCTGGGGATAATTTGAGTTTCGGATCCCTCTTAACACGTTGATAACAGGGTGACTTGGATGGGCTCTCCATTGTAGAAACAACACTTTGGCTGTTATGGCTCTATGCTAGGGAATCCTGGGATTTGTAGTTTGGTGAAGAACCATCACCCTTTGGCAGAGAAGGTGAAAGACATTGTAAAACTCCCATGTTTCTACAGCAGGTATGGGCAAACTTTGGCCCTCCGGGTGTTTTGGACTACTCCTTCCCCCCCATCCCCTGGTCTCCTGGTATGAAGATAATGGTAGCCAGGTAAGTTTTTAACAACTTTGTGGCATCATGGTGGCTGCATGTCATTCTGATTGTTATCAGGACGGCATGTAGACACACACCCCGCCCCTGGAAGCCCAGGGGTTTTTTGGGCAGGAGGGGGGAGGTGGACTTAAATCAGAGCTGAATCAGGTTTTTTAAACCCGCTTCAGTGTGCATTTAAGTCTTGTATGGAAGTACCCTGAGATAGAAAATGTTAGGAGCCTATAAAGAATGTCTGCCTTGAGTTCTTTTTTAAAACATTTTCTATGTATTCGAGAAATTATTTTTAAACAATCAATCCCTTTGGGGAGAGAGAAAGATACATTTTGAATGACATTATAATGTCAATGAAACAATGTGTTACACAGCAATCAATACTTTTGAAGGTCACAAAACTTATTAGAACTGAATGAGATGAGCATATTCTCCTATTCTTTTTTATCAGGGCAAAATAAATATTCATGGAATGAAATAGAAGTTATGAAGATGAAACTCATGCATAAATATGCTGCAAAGAGAAAGTACTAACAAGAAAAGTGTCTGAAATAATGTTTAAGCTCAGGGGAAAACAGAGAATTTTAAAACTTCTCCATGTCCCCTCCTCTCCCCCCCCCCCCCCCCCCCCCCCCTCACACAGACACACTTTCGAAGGGCTCTTTGGGGAATAAAGGGGTTTTCAAAAACGATACAGCTTCCAAGGACACATACTGCATAGCAAGACAGAAACAGAAAAAATCTCCCTGTGGCTACACTTTGAGCATCCTGTTCACTTCTCCAACCTGTTCAGGGATACCAAAATCCAAACCTTGAACCAAGAGTTCAGTTTCCTATCTAGTCTTAACTTCCTCCTAGTAAACGTAAAGAGAGCAGTGGAAAGAAAAACGGAATCTGCTGTGCACCCCTATGGTTAAGCAAGACAAAGTCCAGCTGTTAGAACTCACTCTCATCTCTTCTCAAATCTGGGAAACGGAAGACTAAAAGAAATAGAAGCTGCAAGTTCACAGAGGCTTCATGGTCTTGAAATACAGAATGACAGAAGTAGAACGATTGTGAAACACGGGGCAATTGTCTCAAACAGATGCAGAGAAAAAGGCAAAACTGACAAAAAACAAATGAACACTAATAGGATTGGAGCTCCCAGTGACGCAATGGGTTAAACTCTGTGCCGGCAGGACTGAAAATTGACAGGTCGCAGGTTCAAATCCAAGGAGAGCATGGATGAGCTCCCTCTGTCAGCTCCTGGTCCCCATGTGGGGACATGAGAAAAGCCTCCCACAAAGATGTCAAAGCATCGAAACATCCGGGCGTCCCCTAGGCAACATCCTTGCAGACGGCCAATTCTCTCACACCAGAAGCAACTTGCAGTTTCTCAAGTCACTCCTCACACACACACACACACACACACACACACACACACGCACACAAAACTAATAGGATTTAAGATATGTGGCTCAACAGTGCTACACATGGAAAGAAATTTGGGATAATTGTCCATTATGAACATGACCCAGCAATGCGATGCTGTAGCAAAGAAGGCAAATAATATTTTAACCTGAATTAATAGGATTTTAGTTTCGAAGACAAACTAAGTAATAGTCCCGCTATATTCTGAAATAGTCAGGCATCATCTGAAGTAGCATCCCCAGTTCCGGTTGGCTCCTTTTTCAAAGGATGTAGACCAGTGGTTCTCAACCTGTGGGTCCCCAGGTGTTTTGGCCTACAACTCCCAGAAATCCCAGCCAGTTTACCAGCTGTTCGGATTTCTGGGAGTTGAAGGCCAAAACATCTGGGAACCCACAGGTTGAGAACCACTGATGCAGAGAAATTGAAGCAAGTTCACTGAAGACAAAAGGGATGATCAGTGCTATGGAGAACAAAACATATGAGGAAAGGTTGAAGAAGCTGGGCATGTTCAGCTTAGTGAATAGAAGACCGAGGAGTGACAGGACTGCACTCTTTTAAATACGTCCATGGCTGCCAAAAAGAGGAATGCTCAAGCATGTTCTCTACTGTTTCATTATAGACAGGGAGAGATGTATTTGCTGAATTACATTTTGCCAGGCACATAAACTTTCATACGAATGAAGATAAAGTCTAGTGTCTGAAATTATGTCTTGTGTTTGCATTGGAACAAGAATACCTGCAAAAGTCTCCTTTTTAAAGGAACGCCAAAAGAAGTGCAATATATGCATACGCATATTGTTTCCAAAAGTGCTGAGCTCAGGTCCATATACTGTATATACTCGAGTATAAGCCTAGTTTTTCAGCCTTTTTTAAGGCTGAAAAAGTCCCCCTCAGCTTATATCAAGTCAAGGTTATTTATTATTTTACTCTGTTATTATTATTATTATTATTATTATTATTATTATTACATTTATGATTTTACTCTATTATTATTATTACTACTACTATTACTTTACTTTGTCATTGTTATTATTAAATTTATTATATTACTCTATTTATTATTGTTATTATTACATTTATTATTCTATCATTATTGTTGTTATTACAGTTCCATTATTTTACTCTATTATTATTATTATTATTATTATTATTATTATTTGAAACACAACAAGATGAGCACAGCAGACACTCTGCTTGCTGTTGAATTGGATCACATGTCGGACACTTCGTGAGGGGCTAGGACTGTGTGTTGTATCGGCGAATAATGCTTGCAAATCCCAGTAAGGTGGCCTTCTGCAGCTGGCAGATTATTGTTATTATTATTATTACATTTATTATGTTATTATTATTGGAAGAATACGTATGCATATTTACATTGAAGAAGGTTAGAATCATGGTTATCTTAAATCACAGTTTTATGTAAATATTCAAAAACATTTAACCTACTAATGCCTCAATTAATGCAAATGTATTGGTATCTATTTTTATTTTGAAATTTACCAGTAGCTGCTGTATTTCCCACCCTTGGCTTATACTCGAGTCAATATGTTTTTCCAGTTTTTTTTTTTTTGTGGTAAAATTAGGTGCCTCGGCTTATATTTGGGTTGGCTTATACTCAAGTATATACGGTAATTGGGGTCTTGTCACCTGCCCTAGGAAGAAACCCTAGGCACTAAACAAAATAAACATAGGGTGGCTATTACAGAGAATGGGGTCATTAATGTCTAAGTAAACTACATACAACCTTCATGTTAAGAAACTGAAGATAGAGAAGAGCAATGGGGGGTCATCTTCAAGCTATAGATCACAGAAGCATCTGGATGGCCACTGACGGAAGCAGGATCCTATTCACCAAGACTTCATCAAGGAAAGGAGGGCCTTTAACACAAGTTGTATATGGTGGGGTTATTTCGATGACAGTTTTTCAATTCTTGGGCAAAAGTTGTTGGCATCCCTTTTCTCTTATTTAAACAACAAAGTGGGTACAAAATTAAACTTAGATCTGGGGATGACTTGAATTTCTGATTGTCCTTAATGCGTTGATAGCAGGGTGCCTTGGATGGGCTCTCCATTGTTGAAACAACACTTTAGCTGCCATGGCTCTTTGCTAGCAAATCCTGGAATTTGTAGTTTGGTGAAGAACCAGCACCCTTTGGCAGAGAAGGAGAAAGACTTTGTAAAACTCCTGTGATTGTACAGCAGGCATGGGCAAACTTGGGCCCTCCAGGTGTTAGGAATTGTGGGAGTTAAAGTCCAAAACACCTGGAGGGCCAAAGTTTGCCCATGCCTGTTCTACAGCCCTGAGCCAGGGTTGTTCCAGTGGTTTCAAACTACATTAATTATACAGTATAGACGTTCCACTTTTGGTGAAGGCATACATCACAAAGGGTTGCCAGAAGTTGCCTTGATGGCACTAATCTGCTGATGGTGTTATTTATGAAGCCTGACTAAATTATATGTTTTAGCCAAGGTTGTTCAATTATTCTATTTTTAACTGTTTATTAACTGTTTGTTTTAATTGTCTTGTTACTGCACACGGCATTGAATGTTTGCCATTTTTTCTTTTTGGAAGCCACCCTGAATCTCTGTGAAGATGTTGTATTTTATTATATAGCAGACCTATCATTATGTTAGGCCACGGGCATGTTAGGCCACAGGAAAGGACAAACGTAGGCCCTCCAGGTGTTTTGGACTTCAACTCCATCAGGCTCTTAGGAATTGTGGGAGTTGAAGTCCAAAACACCTGGAGGGCCCAAGGTTGACCATGCCTGTGTTGGGGGTGAATAGAGGCCTTGCTCCTACTTCTTCCCGCAGGGCTGTTATCACTATGGAAACAAGCCTCTCAGGCAAAGAGGGAGGGAGACAGAGAGGCCTCCTTTTATCTCTGCCCCCGTTTCCATGGTGACGTCCCTCCCCCTCGGGGGCTTGAGTACTACAAGTAGGCCTCTTTCTTTCTATCTCTCTCTCTCTCCCTCGCACGTGGCCTCACACCTCTTCTCGGTGGCGGTAGATGTTGAAGCCCATGGACTGTGCCATGAGCTGCCAGGAGGGGTCGGCCCCTTCGCTCGAGCGGGTCAACTCGCGGCCAATGGACAGGAACTGCTCGTTGGCGAAACTGCGGGGCGGCTGTTCAGAGCGATTCCGGACTGAGGCCGAGGTGGAGGCGGCAGCCGGGTTGGCGCTCCCTCCTCGGGACATCCCCGCCACCACCAAGAGCTGTGGAGGGCACATGGGCCGGGCCCTGCTAAGGGGGCTCCATGGGGCCGAGCCTCTTCGGAATCCAGAGAAGGAGACAGAGATCCAGCGTAGAACATGGAGCCCCGCTTCGGAATGAAGGCGCTTCCGAGCTTCCTACTCAGCCAGGAATGTGTGCGGCTGCTGCTGCCGCCTGTCTTTCAAGGATCATCTACTCCAGGAATGGGCAAACTTGGGCCCTCCAGGTGTTTTGGATTTCAACTCCCACAATTCCTAACAGCCTCCTGGATGTTAGGAATTGTGGGAGTTAAAGTCCAAGACACCTTGAGGGCCAAAGTTTACTCATGCCTGTTCTACAGCCCTGACTCGGGGTTGTTCCAGTGGTTTCAAACTACATTAATTATACAGTATAGACCATAGGTCCTCAAACTAAAGCCCGGGGGTTGGATATGGCCCTCCAAGGTCATTTACCTGGCCCTCACTCAGGGTCAACCTAAGTCTGAAACAACTTGAAAGCACACAACAACAATCCTATCTCATCAGCCAAAAGCAGGTGCACACTTCCCATTGAAATACTAATAAATTTATATTTCTTAACATTGTATTGTCAAAAGCTTTCATGGCCAGAATCACTGAGTTGTTGTAGGTTTTTTCAGGTTATATGGTCATGGTCTAGGGGCATTCTCTCCTGATGTTTTGCCTGCATCTCTGGCAAGCATCCTCAGATGGTGCTTCTTTTTTGGGTCACACTGTTTACAGAAAACCCACACACAGAGATAGATATCTACATAAAAAACTCCAACCATCACCCAAGTAAAAAAAAAGAAGCACCATTAAAGCCTTGGCAGAACGTGCAAAAAGAATCTGTGAACCCCACCTCCTCCAAGATGAACTGAACCACCTACAGGCCAATGGATACTCCAGCTCAGACATCAGAAGAGCTGCAAGACTGAACACAAACCACGAGAGTAAAGACAAAGACCCAGCCAGAGGAAAAGTGTTCTTGCCATACATCAAGGGAACCACTGACCGCATAGGGAAGCTGATGAGGAAACACAACATACAAACTATCTACATACCCACCAAGAAAATCCAACAAATGCTACATTCAGCAAAGGACAAGAGGGATCCTCTCATCAGCTGCAGCAGGCATGTAGCTGAGGGGGGGGGACTTGGGGGTCTTCAGCCCCCCCAGAAATTCTCATGGTGGTCCGCGAGAAGGCCTTACTGGTACATTATTTAAACTGTTATGTTATTCATATCATGATCTGATCACCATGCTCAATATATCCCATATGCATGGGGGTATTGGGGTAACAATACAAAAGGTTTGCTAGGGTAGACCCTCTTTCACTCAGACTCAGCCCCCACCCCCCACCCCCAAATCAAACTCAGCCCCCCCCCCCGAATCGAAATCCTGGCTATGGGCCTGGCAGGAGTCTACCGTGTACCATGCAGCTGTGGACAAGTCTACATAGGGACCACCAAACGCAGTGCCCAAACAAGCATCAAGGAACATGAAAGGCACTGCAGACTACTTCAACCAGAGAAATCAGCCATAGCAGAGCAACCTGGACACAGCATTTTATTTGAGAACACAGAAATGCTGGACCACTCTCACAACCACCATGTCAGACTACACAGAGAAACCATTGAAATCCACAAGCATGTGGACAATTTCAACAGAAAGGAGGAAACCATGAAAATGAACAAAATCTGGCTACCAGTATTTAAAAAACTCTAAAATTACAATAGCAAAACAACAGAGAGGAAGCAGGCAGGGACATCTAATTACCTCTTAACAAAAGTTTGCTCTAGGCACTGTCAGGCCATTATATGCTAATCAAGGTGGTCAGGGTAGAGAAAGGCGGGATATAAATAAAGTAAATAAATAAATAAGCCCACAGAACCTGTTTCCCTACATTCGGTTCTGAAAAGATTATTCTTTTGATTAAAACAGGAGTCCACAAACCTTTTAAACAGAGGGCCAGGTCACAGTCCCTCAAACTGTTGGAGGGCCAGATTATAATTTGGAAAAAAAATGAATGAATTCCTATGCACGCTGCACATATCTCATTTGTAGTGTAAAAACACTTAAAACAATACAATAATTAAAATGAAGAACAATGTTAACAAATATAAACTTATTAGTATTCCAATGGGAAGTGTGGGCCTGCTTTTGGCTGATGAGATAGGATTGTTGTTGTTGTTGTTGTTGTGTGCTTTCAAGTCATTTCAGACTTAGGTTGACCCTGAGTGAGGGCTGAGTAAATGACCTTGGAGGGCCACATCTGGCCCGCGGGCCTTAGTTTGAGAACCCCTGGATTAAAATGTGGTAAATCTTCCAGAGTGGTTGTGCTGATCAGATATTTTATTTGTATTCACTGTAAGTCTTACACTCTTCTCTTTTGAAGAATTTCAGTAATCAGTGTGTGTTCTCTTGCAAAGTGATGTGAAAGCAATATTTCTGTAGCCAGTAGTCATCTCCTTATGATGTGATATATTGTTGCTCAAACCTGAAGCCATTGCAACAGGGTAGAAGAAATATAAGGAATAGAGAGAAGAAACTAAGCTTTACAACAGAATAGATTTATATTTCCTCCAGCGTAATTCCTCTCCGCTTAGGACAGTATGTTTACTAGAATATATTTATGGAAGATTGGCGTAATTGTTTTAATTCCTAGCCTTGATTAGTATTTGCTGCCCACAAAAGACAGATGTGTACATAAAATTTGGATGTTCACTTGGTTTAGCAAATTCCACCCAAGAAACCATATTTTGACCTAATCTACAAATATAGCAAAAATCGAGCAGATGTAAAAGCTTGTACAATGAATTGTCCCAAATTAAGACTGCAGCCAGAGATTGCCATTTGGAGAAAAAAAGAAAAACCTCGTTCTGGTAAAAAAAATGAGGAATTTCTGCAAAAAGAAAGGTAACACATCTAAGGATGGGCTTGGCTAGAGGAATTCTCTTGTATAAAGGCATTTGTCACTTGTGGGAACTATTCACCCTCAAATTCCACTCTGTGTTTCTGCTGAGAAATTCCTGTCAGTTATGACCCGCTTATTTTTTGTAATGAAATTGGCACGTTGTCTAGTGTGGAACCCTGTGTTACCAGAACACTGTGATGCATTGATTTCCTGAACAAGCATTCCTACTAATTGGTTACTGAGACAATGGGAGCAGACTGATTTGTCATTAAATAGAATCCTGATTCAGATTTAGAAATAGAGCCGAAAATCTTGAGTCATACACACCACTCCCATATGTGCTTGAAAATGTTTACCTACATAAAAGCATGGGAACAACATTACAACTTTCCTGGAACTTTGTGGGAAGGTGAAACTTTGCTTTCTCGTTACCAGAAATAACGAATTGGAAAATAATAATTATGTAATACTATAGTACAGTTGGGAACACCAAATAAATGCTGTAGTATGACATTTAATGCTGTAGTTGAAGCTAGGATAACTTTTTGGTGTTTTTCTTTGAGGCTGCCATGCCCAAAATCTTTTCTAAGCTCTAGTTCTAGCCAGGTTTTCCAAAAGATTTCACACAAACCCACAAGATGTCTCCTCATTTGGGGTTATTATACACCAGTGGTTCCCAACCTGTGATTTGTGAACCACCAGTGGTCTGCAAAAACTAAAATATGGCCCGCTGCCTCACTGTTAATACACCATTGCAACAGACCATGGCCCCTTCCTCGGGGCCATGCAGCTGTGGCGAGAAGACAAAAGAAAGCAATTAGAGACAGGTTTTTTGGGTCTCGTCCTCTACCTTTTGTATTTTTTTTCAACCTCAGCCCCCTCCCCTTATTTATCTTTTTACAGAGTGTTAACAAAATACACAAATGATAAGATAGCCCAAACAAAAACAAAAAATCTTTGTTTTGAAGCCTGTTCCTGGGGTTATTTGGGATGCTGATTCAGAAAATTGCATTGGACAGACCACATCAGCTCTAGATTATTAAGTATAGTTTTCTGTGGGAGAGCAAATGGCAACTAATGGATGGCATATGTACTGTATCAGAAACCAGAACTGATGTGGTCTATCCAATGCAATTTTCTGAATCAGCACCACAAATAACCAAACTGAACCTAAAACTGATATGTAACCCTTTGGTTTTAATGTTAGAAAGTGGTCCCTGATCACGTGGTCCTTAGGCAAAGTTGTCCCTGGTCAGGTGGTCCCTGGTCAAAGTAGTCCATGGTCAAAAAAAAAAGGTTGGGAACCACTGTTGAAGATGGTCAGATCACAATGAGCAGTTCTGTGGTAGATTCAACCATCCCTCTTCATTTTCAAAAATGCTGCTTAGCAAAAGTCAATAAAATCCTTCTCTTTGGTCAATTCAGATCACTTTCCCTACTGTGCATATTGAAGAATGCATGCATCTGAGGCAGAAGCTTCTTTTTCCCTCACTTTTAGAGTAAAGACGTCATGCCATAGATTCACCACCGCTGCTATAGACTATTGTACACCAGTGCGGTAAGAAAAGGCAAAGAGGTAAAAATGGTATTAGGATGTGGATGCTGATTTGCTATATCTGCAGGGACTCTATTATAAATAAATTGGAACATTAGTTTGAGTGGATCCTAGGTCCCAGCAACAATGACCATTTAATGCAGTTTCAAACTGGTAATGAAGAGAGTGGTTTTGCTATGCTTGTTATTACATGGGAAATCCTGGAACTAGTTTGAGACCTGAGTGGTGATTCCACAATTTACAGAGCACTGGTGCACGTTAGGAACTTTCATGCACTTTGGTGGGAATTTGTCATTGTCAGGCATCACATTGTGAAGCTTGCTTTGAGCTGCATCAAATGGTCGGTGTATATGAGGTCCTAATCTTGAGCTCAGTATCTGAAACTGCAGTGGAAAAACAGTCTGCACATGCTACTTTTTAAAGATACAATTTCAAAGCATAGATTTTAAAAATATATTATTTGGGGGTGGGGTGGGGGGACAAATCCAAAGCTGCCATCTCAATCCAGTGTCAGCTGTTTCAGTTCCAGACTCTTTACATCCATATAATTAAAAGAAGTCATTTGGGTTTCAAATGGTCTTTTCTTTTTGGCATTCCCACAAAGTACAGCTACTCAAAACAAATCATAATTATAAAAAGTTCCACCCTCTTAGTTCTCCAGGAAAAGAACCTCTGGGGGTGGGTGGGGGTTATACAAAAAGGGAGTTTATTAATTCCAGGCACCGGCTTTATTGGCTCTGGCAAACATGAGAAATTAAAGACTTGCTCCTTGCTTTTACACACAGACCTCCTTATTCTTCCTCCTGGCCCCTGCTGGGAGTTTCCTACTTTGAACTTCTCTGTGCAGCTTGTGAAAGAACAAATACCTCCTTTTTCCAAGTTGGTTTCTGTAAGCATTTGCTCAGGCATTTTGTCCAGCAGAGTCACGATCCCTCTCGCCCTCCACACAAAAACATGCCACAAAAATTGCTGCATCAGTCTTTGGTCCAGAAACCACGAAATATACAGGGTGAGCTCAAAGTTTTGTCAAGGTCAGGAACTGTAATCGCTAGGACTCCAAGTCAGCAAAGAGCCTTTTGTCTCCAAAGCCCCATCATTCTCAGAGCAGCCAAGAAAGTCTAGAGATTAATTTGGGATTGCATCTTTCAGTTCTTGTTTAAAAGGGGGGGCATATGGGGGTTGATGCTCATCTCCATGTCTAAGCCAAAGAGCATTGTCGCAGAGACAAACATCACCAGTAATTTCCTTGGGGCAGGAAAGCAGAGAGCAAGTTCTTCCAAAATTGTCTCCAGATTTTAAAATTAGTTAATTATAGAGTTGGAAGAGACCACGGGGGCCATCCAGTCCAGGAACACACAAAGCACTCCTAACAGATGGCCATTCAGCCTCTGCTTATAAATCTCTAGAGAAGGAGACTCTGCCAGATTCTGAGGCAGAATAATCCATTGTCCAGCAGCTCTTTCTGTCAGGAAGTCCTTCCCAATGTTTAGGTGGAATCTCTTTTCCTGCTATTTGAATCCATTGCCCCATACCCTAGTCTCCAAAGCTGCAGAAGACAAGCTTGCCCACTTCCCAGTACAACATCCTTTCAAATATTTTCATATAGCTATCATGCTCCACCCCCTCCTCAGTCTTCTTTTCTCCAAGCTAAAGATACCAAAAAAAAAAAAAAAAGCAAGCTACTTGTAGGGCTTGGGTTCCAAATTTTGATCATTTTGGTTGCCCTTCTCTGGGTGTGTTCAAGCTTGTCCATATTTTTCAGAACTGGACATGGTATTTCAGGTGAGGTCTGGCCAAAATAGAATAGGGAGGGACTAGACTTCCCTCTATCGCAACACTTCCTGTTCTTGCAACCTAGAATTGCATTGGCTTTTTTAGCTAATGCATCTCACTGTTGACTCATCTTTAGTTTGTGATCTATTAAGACTCCTAGATCCCTTTCACACGTACCGTTTTCAATCCAAATGTTGCCCATGCCATATCTGTGTATTTCATTGTTATTGCCTAAATGTAATACCATACATTTTTCCCTGTTCTGAGTAATGGTAAGTTTCAGGACTACATTTCTTGGTGTGGCAAACAGCTGACATTGCTACTTCCCACAAGTATTGTGGAAGTGAAAGTAAAATCTCTTTGATTTAGGCTTTTAAGGTAAAGGTAAAGGTTTCCCCTTGACATTAAGTCTAGTTGTGTCCGACTCTGGGGGTTGATGCTCATCTCCATGTCTAAGCCAAAGAGTGTTGTCTGTAGATGCCTCCAAGGTCATGTGGCCAACATGACTGCATGGAGTACTGTTACCTTCCTGCCAGAGCAGTACCTATTGATCTACTTACATTTGTATGTTTTTGAACTGCTAGGTTGGCAGAAGCTGGGCCTAACAGTGGGAGCTGACCCCGCTCCCTGGATTCGAACTTTAGCACAGCAAGTTCAGCAGCTTAGCCACTGCGCCACTGAGGGCTCCATGCTTTTACTTGTAGGTAAATACATGAAATTGCCAGGTGCTGTGATTTAACATTTCATCAAATGTCACCAAAGAAAAGAAAATTGTACATGGCAAATAAAGTTGCTGGTGTCTGGTCCCCTCAGACTTGCCTCCTTGAATGGATGATTTCTATTTAAAAGCAAAGAAATGTAAAAGAAAGGGACTTCAGTCCTTGAGTCCGTATTCTCATGAAATGAGACATGTTATACATGATGAAGTTCAGCCTCGTTTCCTAGCAGGAATCAGGCAAGCAACCAGCCAAGCCTCCCCCTTACCTATTCTGTCTGTTGGCATTCTGTGGCCAACATAGGTCCTTCTATTTTGTGAGTTTTTAAAAAAAACTTTTGCAAGACCCATGTTTCTTCTTGCCTTGCTTGATACCTTGCTCTTCGTTTTGGCTGCCTTTCTGTCACCACTCACCACCTGAGTTCGCTATTCGAGGAAGCGATGATAAAAAGGAAAATATGCCAGTGGTATTCCCTCCAACTCCTTCGTAAGAAATAGATCTGCTCCCTCCTTCCAGCATTCTGGCTCATGGGGCCAAGCAAAACTCAGCCCTTATGTAAGCAGCCTTCCTGAGAGTAACTTGTCCTGGTCAATAATAGATAATTCTTGAGGGCGGGTGTCTTGCGAGAGAAAAAAAGATTGTGATTTTCTAAAGAAAGTCTGTATCTACACTTGTTTGGGAGACCCATGGAAGCTGTTCAGGACCCTGAACGAAAGTGTATCCAGCTTGTTTTCAACGTACGGAAACAAATCTTGACCAAAAAAAAGCTATTACAGGTTTTTCTTGTCAAGATTTGTTTGCCACTGTCTTTCCTTGAGGCTGAGAGAGTGTGATTTTTCCAGTTTCACCCATGGGTTTCCACAGCTGAGGAGGGATTTGAACCCTGATCTCCCAAAGTCCTAGTTTAACACTCAAATTACTATTCCAGATCTCTCATCTTTTTGTATAGGAGCCCCCAGTGGCGCAATAGGTTAAACCCTTGTGAAGAGGTCAGAGGTTCGAATCCAGGGAGAGTGCATATGAGCTCCCTCTGTCAGCTCCAGCTCCCCATGCAGGGACATGAGAGAAGCCTCCCACATGGTTAAACATAAAAAACATCCGGGCGTCCCCTGAGCAACATCCTTGCAGCCGGCCAATTCTGTCACACCAGAAGCGACTTGCAGTTTCTCAAGTCACTCCTGACATTAAAAAAAATCTTTTTAGATAGTGCACTCCAAGTGAGCAAGGCTCATAATGTACGTTGTTTATTCACTTATTCCATTTATGCCCTTTTTTTTCCTCTAATGAGTTTCTCTGTAAAAAAAAAAAGAGGCTTGCTTTGGGTCTCTTTTTAGAGAGATAAAGCTGGATAGAAATAATAATAATAATAATAACAACAACAACAACAACAATTCTTGCAGCCCAAGAACAGGCAATTAGAACAAATGCCATCAAAGCCAGAAATGAAAAGTCAATGACAGATCCTAAGTGTAGATTCTGAAAGGAAGCAGATGAAACAATAGATCACATCCTCAGCTGCTGCAAGAAGATTGTGTAGACAGACTATAAGCAGAGGCATAATACTGTTACTCAGATGAATCATTGGAACTTGTGCCACAAAACCATTTGCCTGTGACAAAGAATTGGTGGAATCACAAGCCTGAAAAGGTTACAGAAAATGAACATGTCAAGCTACTCTGGGACTTCCAAATTCAGACTTGACAGAGTTTTGGAGAACAATACTCCTGACTTCAGAATCATGTTAAAAAACAAAGTATGGATCATGGATGTTGCAATCCCAGATGACAGCAAGATTGAAGAGAAGCAACTGGAAAAGCTGACACGATACAAGGATTTAAAGATCAAACTGCAAAGAATGTGGTACAAGCCAGTCAAGGTGGTTCCAGTGGTGATCGGTATATAATCCCACATGATTGCTCTGACTCAGGGTTCTGTCATTGGAGTATATGTCCCCCCTCATGGGAAAGCTTGCTTCCACAACTCCCGCTGGAATGAGCCCTCCTCCATAAATTACCTGCTTCCCTCTTTTATCTCGCCTGATTTTTTAATTAGTTTTAATCAATTTGTCTTCCTGATTACTACATGTCGCCCGCCCATTATTATAGTGCCTGTGCACATTTTATTTTATTTTAAATATTGTTATGTATTCGTGTGTTTTATTGTTTATGATGTTGTTGTTTATTGTTTGTGTTTTGGTTTTCTTTATTGTAATTGTCGTTTGGGCTTGGCCTCATGTAAGCTGCTCCGAGTCCCCATTGGGGAGATGGTGGCGGGGTAGCAAATAAAGATTATTATTATTATTATTATTGGCACTCTGGGTGCAGTGCCTAAAGACCTTGGCCTGCACTTAAACACAATCGACGCTGACAAAATTACCATCTGCCAACTGCAAAAGGCCACCTTATTGGGATGTGCATGTATTATTCGCTGATTCAGCACACAGTCCTAGACACTTGGGAAGTGTCCGACGTGTGATCCAAAACAACAGCCAGCAGACTATCTGCTGTGGACTCATCTTGTTGTGTTTCTAAGAATAATAATAATAATAATAATAATAATAATAATAATAATAATATATTACTGGGGCCTCATCAAACCGGATTCCAAAGCATTGAGTCAAAGCAGTTTAAAGTGTGATAAACTGAATTAATTCTGCGGTGTAGGTGCACCGAAAGGCGGCTCTGGTTTTGTTCAGCAAGTACCAGTTTGGGACTCTCTCCCTCCCTCCCCTCCCCTCAAGCAGAGCAGCGCGCGTTCCTTTGAAGCTGGGAACTTGTCCGCGGTCCCTGGGTTCTCTCTGCGGCTGCGCAGTTTGCAGACGCTCCCTTGCGCCTCTCTCCAGACCGGGGCAAGTGCTTGCTCGCTTCACTTCCATTCTGGACGAGGGAAGGTAAGTGGTGGGCTCCGCTGGGCTTCCTGGAGAGGGGAGAAGTTGGGGAAAGTTATCAAAGGTGGTTAGGTGAGGAGAGGGCGAGAGATTACAGTGGTTTGGTGACAAAGCAAGGAAGAAACTTTTGCCAGCAAGGAACTGAAAGTCCCCACAGGGGTCTGCAAAGTCTCTGCTCAATGGAAAAGGAGAGTGCCAGCAAATGGGAACTTGGTCTCTTCTTGCTCCGGAGCTTTCCAATACAAAGAACAAAAAATAATGTTCTGCTCCCTTTAAAACGATCCTTATATATCCCAGAGAATGTGTTAATATTTCTATGGATTATTATTGTGTTGTTGTTGAAATGGAAAGCATCGATTTGCTTAGTTTCCATACACAACCTGGGAAATAAGTTTTTAAAATACTGATGCACACATACATATCTGGAAATCTTGGTTTTCTCCCTCCAGCCTTTTCTGCTTTGCCATATAATCCAGATTATCAAAGCAGAGAAATCATTTCATGATTCTACACTGCCATATAATCCAGTTCAAATCAGATAATCTGGATTTAGTATGGCAGTGTAGAAGGGCCCCAGCCTGAATCATTCACTCTTTCAATAGGCTGCAATTCTAGGAATGCATCTACACTGTAGCGTTGATGCAGTTTGATACCACTTTGACTGCCATATCTCAAGTGCTGTGGAATTCTGGGATTTATAGTTTGGGCAGCAAAAACTAAAGACCCTTCCACACAGCTTAATAACATCCCAAATTATCTGCGTTGAACTGGAATATATGTCTGTGTGGACTCAGATAACCCAGTTCAAAGCAGATATTGTGGGATTTTCTGCCTTGGTATTCCGGGTTATATGGCTGTGTGGACGGGCCCCTTATCAAACTGCAAGTCCCATTTTTCCATAGCATTGAACCATGGCAGAAAAAGCAGTGCCAAGCTGCATTCATTCTACAGTGTAGTAGAGGCACCCTCAATTCAAAAAGTATTCTGCAGGTTGATGTTATTTAGCTATCCTGTAGTTGAAAGACAAGCGTTGCTGGTTTTGAACAGTTTCTTCCATTGGACTATAGATAGATTGATAGATTGATTGATAGATTGATGATATTTAAAAGTTAGGAAGAATGTGAACGGAAGAGAAGCATGGAAATTTGGTGAATCCTTTGTGCTCCGGATGTCAAAAACCCTTCTAACCTTGGCCCCTTCCACACAACTGAATAAAATCCTACATTATCTGCTTTGAACTGGAATATATGGCAGTATGGACTCAAGATAAACCAGTTCAAAGCAGATATTGTGGGGTTTTCTGCCTTGATATTCTGGGATATAGGGCTGTGTGGAAGGGCCTCTTGTCCTGTGCGCACAAGATTATACCTTTATGTAATACAATCATATATGACACAGGGAAGTGGTTACGTATGACAGCTTGGTTTCTGTGTGTTTGCTTCTTTGAATAGAGCATCTTCAATTATGTGGATCTGTAATCCACATATAATTTGGGCAGGATGGAGAGACTGGTGAGGTCATTTGTGTAACTCCTTCCCATACCCCTCTATGCAAATAATATTTTTTCCTATTTAGAAATAAGGCTGCAAGTATTTATATACATGTTGTCTTGGAAGTAAGTTCAGAAGGGATTACATAAGAGTAACATACTTTAGATTAGACTTTCCTAACTGCTAACACATTTTGCACCCATCAAGGTTTTTCAGATCTGACTTATCAGTATTACTACTGATGTCTTTAAAGAAGGGTCAGGACCCAAACACACTTAGGATGCACCTATATTGTGGAATTAATGCAGTTTGACACCACATTGACTCCCATGGCCCAAATCTGTAGAATCCCAATACTTGTAATTTGGTGAAGCTCCAGCCCTCTTTGGCAGAGAACTCTTAAAAAAAACTTGTAAAACTACAACACTTGCAGCATTGAGCCATGGTAGTTCACATGGTATCAAACTGTATTAACTGTACAGTGTAGATGCAACCTAAGAAGTTGCACGCATCCCTTTAACCCCTCTTTGTGTGCAGTCTTATTGTAGTTATTCATGGAGAGATTTTTTTTCTGTGTCAGGAGCGACTTGAAAAACTGCAAGTCACTTCTGGTGTGAGAGAATTGGCTGTCTGCAAGGACATTGCCTAGGGGACGCCCAGATGTTTTACCATCCTGTGGGAGGCTTCTCTCATGTCCCTGCATGAGAAGCTGGAGCTCACAGACTAGGCTTACCCCACTCCCCGAATTTGAACCGCTGACCTTTCGGTCAGCAGTTCTGCCAGCACAAGGATTTAACCCATTGAGCCACTGGGGACTCCATTCATGGAGAGTGATGCTAACTCTCCATATGCTCAGTGGCACTTGTTTTTCTCACTACTTCAGTTCTCCAGCATTTTGTCTGATAGGAGTTTTGGAACTGAGCCGTGGTGTGTCATAGTGCAACACATTAAACCCAAATTGCTTTGATTCAAACTATTTAACATTGTTAAAACTGAAAACATAAAGACATAGTGAAAGACACATTAGAGCTTGGGAGCTTTGAAATTTAATTCAGGAAGATAAATGAAGGATAATAAGTATGCATTATGAATATGTTGTTGGATGTACAGTATTTGAGGATGGGTTGGGGAGCATGGTAATAATTCTTTGCAAAGTCAGATCTGGCAATGGTGACCCATGCCTTGATTATATCCTATTTGGACGACTAATGTTCTCTAAAGGCCCTTCCACACAGCCATATTACCCAAAATATCAAGGCAGAAAAATCCCACAATATCTGCTTTGAACTGGGTTATTTGAGTCCACCCGGCCATAGATTCCAGTTCAAAGAAGATAATGTGGGATTTTATTCAGCCCTGTGGAAGGGGCCTAAGTGGGGCTGCCTTTGGAAACTGTTCAGAAACTTCCGCTTGTTCAAAATGCCGCAGCCAGGCTGTTGACCAGGGATCATGAAATAGCTCCATTGGCTACCATTCCATTTCCGGGCAGAATTCAAAGTGCTGTTTTTGACCTTTGAAGCCCTACACGGCTTGAGTCCAGACTTTCTGAAAGGCTGTATCTCCTTATATAAGCCAGAGAAAAGCTTTCTTCCAGTCCCACCACCTTTGCAAGTGGGGTTGGTGAGGACTCAAGAGAGAACTTTCTCCGGGATTGTGGAACTGCCTTCCATGGGAAGCCCAATTGGCTTTTTCCCTGCTTCCTTTCTACTGGCAGGCGAAGAAGTTTTTATTTAGGTAGGCATTTAATTGTGAATTTTAATTATGATGTGTGCTGTATTTTCAAAAATGTTTTCTTGAACCTACGGTTTAAATATGCTTTAAATATATATATATTTTAAAAAAATAGTAGTGTTTTAATCATGTGTCAGGAGCAACTTGAGAAACTGCAAGTTGCTTCTGGTGTGAGAGCATTGGCCATCTGCAAGGACGTTGTCCAGGAGACGCCCGGATGTTTTAATGTTTTACCACCTTTGTGGGAGGCTTCTCTCATGTCCACGCATGGGGAGCTGGAGCTGACAGAGGGAGCTCATCTGTGCTCTCCCTGGATTCGAACCTCCGACCTGTTGGTCTTCAGTCCTGCCGGCAGAAGGCTTTAACCCATTGCGACACCAGGGTGTATAGATAAAAGCAGAATAAATAAACTAAGGACTCTTCAACACTATACAAACTGGCATGGCAATATGCTGTATAAACCTGGGTTTTCCAGCTTGGAGAGTGACATTTAGAATCTCCTGGTGCTCTGACCGAACTATAAATCCCAGGATTCCATAGCCATGTGAGTTAAAGTGGAATGATAATGCTATAATGATGTGGCATAAAAGTTTCTGGAATATTTTCCACTTGACTCCTATTTCTGGTTAAGGGAATTTGGCAGCTCTTTAAAGTGTTACAAAACTTTTCAGCAGAGTCCACTCTTTAATGAAAGTTTGCCTCATTTGTAGGTTCCATATACTGCGCTAAGCCATCCAGCTCAGGGTTAGATATTATGCAGCCCTCCGAATGTTTCTGGTTTGCAACTCCCAGCATTTCACTCCACTGGCTGTTCTGGCCATAGTAGATGGAACTTGCAGTTCAGCAGCAACTGCGGAACTGGATGAATTTCATTTGGATCTAGCTAAGGACTCTTCCACACGACCATATAACCCAGAATATCAAGGTGGAAAATCCCTTGCTTTGAACTGGGTTATCTGAGTCCACATGGCCATATATTCCAGTTCAAAGCAGAAAATGTGGGATTTTATTCAGCTGTGTGGAAGGGGCCTAAGTATGATCAGATACAGCCACTCCAAATCAGATCCATCTTTTTAAAACATCCTATATGGCGACTGGTAGAGACACTTTCAAATTTGTCACTCTTTTGCAGTCTTGCCTGGAGGTGTTAAGGATTGAACCTGGGACCTTTTCCAGGCTAAACATGTACTATTCTGTGTTCCTTGACTTAGCATCAGGAATTGAGAGAGAAATATCTGCTCTTAAACTATTCACTGGAGCCCCTGGTGGCGTAGTGGGTTAAAGCACTGAGCTGCTGAGCTTGTTGATCGAAAGGTCGCAGGTTCGATTCCTGGGAGCGGCGTGAGCTTCCGCTGTCAGCCCTAGCTTCTGCCAACCTAGCAGTTCGAAAACATGCAAATGTGAGTAGATCAATAGGTACCGCTCCGGCGGGAAAGGTAACGGCGCTCCATGCAGTCATGCCGGCCACATGACCTTGGAGGTGTCTATGGACAACGCTGGCTCTTCGGCTTAGAAATGGAGATGAGCACCACAACCCCAGAGTCAGACATGACTGGACTTAATGTCAGGGGACTACCTTTACCTTTACCTTTAAACTATTCACAGCTGGCATACAGGTTGAGCTTTTGGTTACATATATGAAATGTCAGTTGCTTGTCTGTAACATGGGCCCTTGGCATTATTTGCTGTTTTGTTCCAGGACTTCTGTAGATACCAGAATGAATGGGTGCTGAAATCCAATTCTATAAAATGACAAATTAATGTCCCATATGACAAAAATGGCAACATTTGGGTGGGGGGGGGGGATTTTCAAGCTGTGGATTGACTGCTTGTATGCAGAATCCGCTAATGTGGAGGGCCAGTTGTAGTCACTCTTATGCTGAGACTTTCTGGAAACTTAGTCAGATGAAATTGTAAGTACATATGCCTAAACTTTGGACCTTATATTCCATTTATATCAGTATGCATCCTGCATTGTTTTGAGGAACTTTCTGCTCTGGAGTATGGTAGAAACTCTTTCTTTGGAGGCTTTGAAGCAGAGGCTGGATGGCCATCTGTTGGGGGTGCTTTGAATCTGATTATCCTCCTTTTTGGCAGGGGGTTGGACTGCATGGCCCACGAGGTTTCTTCCAATTCTACGATTCTATGTCTAGATACTTAGTATATCTAGTTATAGATACATACTGACTCCATCACACCCGATCTTTACATTTTGAAAATACTGCACTTTGACTCATTAAACGACAGAAGGCTGACTTCTCCCAATCCACTCAAATGCTTCCCTGCATCCCTAAAAAAATCCTAATACTGCGCAGTGACATAGCCTGGAAGTCTCAAACTACATTCTCGCGAGATTTTAGCTGCAAACTGATTTATAATCGTATGTAAAAACAGCATCTCAGAGCTACATTAAATTTTAAAAACACAGTTAAAATCTTGTGTGCAATTACTCTGTTTATGCAACGTTTTGCAGACGAATCCCACTGGATTACTGGTGGAATGGAACAAACATCATGTGATAGGATCTGTTTGGAATCACATTCAGAGAGTCTCAGAAAATGAGTATTTCCCATTGTCTTTCGGCTGTTTGGTTTCAGGGAAGTATAGGAAGCTGCCTTCTTATTGAGGTCACACTGCTAATTCATTTGGCATATATAGTCAACTCTGACTGGCAATGATGATTCTGCAGTCCAAGCCACGGTTATTGGTGTGGTCCTATTTGGAGACCTATTATGATCCTATGCAGAAATCAAAGGGATTCCTTTTCTTTTTTGCATCTGGTTGACAGATCTCCCTGAAGCCCATCCATGGACCCCTTAGGGTTACGAATCCCTCCTTGAAGGTTACAATCCAGCTATGAAAATTAGTGGTTGAATTTTGAAAAACACACTACAAGAGATTATTCTTGTATATTTAAAGTCCCTGCTTGTTTCTTTCCATTCAGAGTGGTATACATTGTTCTTTTTTGTTCCTGTTCTGTACCGCTTGGTCTTTACAATGTCATTATGATGTAAAGACTGCAATAAACCCAAGGTTGATAGTTGATAGTTCAGTGTGAGTTGCATGCTGAGTCGATATTTGAAATTGAATGACATAGATTTATTCATTTATCATATCAGAAGCGAACCGAGGGACAGAGCCACATTTCTATACACCAGGCCTCAGCAGATGGTGGCTTTCCAGATTTTGTTAGACTGTTAACTTCCATCATCTCTCACTAATGGCTTCCTTAACAAGGTGGGGAATGGTTGTGCTGGCAAGGACTGATGGGAGTGGCAATCTGACAAACCCTGGAGGCCACATTTTCACTCCCCACCTGAATAGGAAGCTTGGAAATGTGTGAGATGTTGAAAACAGAGTTGTCTTTAGTTCTCATCTTCCATGCTTTCATTTTTGCTTGACCAAGGGCTAAAAAAAAGAAGACTGGAAGTTTAACTCTACAACCTTGTTTAGTGAATAGTACCCCCAGTCCTTAACAGAAGTAATATTAATAAACAGGTTTCTGCCGACACCGTTTTAAACTGGAGTGGTAGTGCTCTGAAATAAGAGACTACTCTTACATCCCGTGTAATTAGCATAACCAGTCCTCAATTTTGTTTCTGCACCAGTTTGCATGGAATTCCTAGAATGCTGCACAGTTGGACTTTTTTGTCTGACAATCCTAGCTTCATCTCTGGCAGGGCAGAAGCACTCCAGGCTGGTTGTGCACCAAAGCCCTTGGCATTATTTTTCCTGGATCTTTTAAAATAGGCATGCTATCTAGGATAGATCTTTATGCAGCGCAGCTAGATGGACATATAATTCCTCTCTCTGACAAAGTATATGAATGCATATGGGAGTCTCTTCAAGTTGTGTGTTGACGTATGGCAAGAAATACTTAGAGATAGTTTTGCCAGTTCCTTCCTCTGAAATATAGCTTATAACAGTTGATGTTCATTGGCAGTCTTATAACCAAGTGCTAACCAGTAATGCGTATTTGCCAAGATCAGATGGTATCTGGTGTTTTTAGGATATTTAGTAGCTTTGTTCAGAAGTGCTTGGAAAATGAATCCAAGATTTCTTGTAGACCTCTTCCACCCATGAAGCTGCTCCTTTTGTTGACATCACTGGGCAGCGTACTGGAGCTGTCTGTCCATTGGGATTCCCTACAGCTACAGCCAATATTCAGGATCAGGGCAAGAAGTTATTGCAAGGCACAACTCTTCCATATAAAGGAGGGTTGCCAGATTAGAACTGCTTTTTCAGCTGTTTCAGCTGCCAGAAGCAATGGATTGGTTGTTTTACGAAGCACAGTGGAACAAAAGAGGACTGGCAAATGATGATGATATGTAAGATCAGAGGACAGAATAGACCAAGGGCCCTTCCACACAGCCCTATATTCCAGAATATCAAGGCAGAAAATCCCACAATATGAACTGGATTATCTGAGTCCACACTCAGATATTGTGGGATTTTCTGCCTTGATATTCTGGGATATAGAGCTGTGTGAAAGGGCCCCTAAATTAGTCTGATGGTCCAAGTGAAGCTTATCTGAATGTGTGGAGTCATATTCAGGTGAGAGGGGGGAAAAATCCCACAATTAAAGCCAAGCTCTTTCCAGGACATATGACCGGTTGCAGTGTCGAAATGGCCCTAACAATCCTCCCCAACCCCGCATGCATTGCAAAGGAATGTTGAGTAAGCTTAGTAACAAATCTTTTGCTGGTTCAGAAGGTTAACCGGCTGCTTGGTGGTTTCACAGCTGTTGCTCCTGTTGACAATTACGTTGGCTCTCCCTGGCTTGGATGTGTCACGGAAAGTGTCGCTCTGGCTTCTGGCTGGTTTGAATGCAGGCACTGGAGAAATTTGGTTGCTCTTAACATGTCAAGTAGAAACGGAGTGAGTCTTTCCCTTCTCTCTGACATTGGATGAGAGGTAATTCTAAGCTGAAAGACACATTTTCATAGGGAGATGTAAGCAGTTTATGGTTGAGAGCAGGTGCAGAATCCCAGAGCTGTGCTGTTTCTATCCAGTGGAAAATGTAAATGATTTGTTTTGCCCAAGTCTAAAGTGTGCCTACTGTGAGATATGAGTTCTTCTTTATGCAAAATACCCCTCTAGTTGCTATAACTTTATTTTTCCATTGTTCTGATTTCCTTTGCATTTTCTCCTCCTAGGTCACCTCTGTGGTGTTCCACAGTTCACTGGAGGTGCTAGTTTTTCCTCTTGACTGACAGGTTTGGGAAGAAAAAGCCAGTGGACTTGGTGGTGTACCCCCTTTGCTCATCCAAGCAAGAGATGATGGATATCCTACAAATGAGGTAGGATGTGAGTTGATTGTACATTTGAAGTCATTAATTAAAATGTTAACACATAGAGTGTTAAAGTGATGACTTTGGCTCTAGATAATAATACCTCCTATGGTATTAACAGGTGCCATTATTTATTATTTATTTATTTACTGTATTTGTATACCGCTTCTCTCAGCCTTCCTGCAACTCGAGGCAGTTTACAAAGCAAAATTCAATGCCACAAAAACACAAGTATAATTTAAAAATGTTAACACCAATAAAATCATAGCAACAGCAATAAAACAGTCGATAAATCCTCATTAAAACTTTGTCCAGTCTCATCGTATAGTTATTCCGTTTTCCTATGCCTGTTACTCAATATTTGTAAATGCTTGCTTGAACAGCCATGTCTTGAGTTTTTTATGAAATTTTAGGAGTGAAGAAGTCAATCTGATCGCACTAGGGAGGGCGTTCCATAGCCGAGGGGGCCACCGCTGAGAAGGCCCTGTCTCTCGTCCCCGCCAGACGTACTTGTGACAAAGGTGGGACCGAGCGCAGGGCCTCCCCAAACAATCTTAAAGTCAAAAAGTCATTTCAAAAGAACTATTTCCTTCTGGGTGATCAAGGAAAATTGGTCCTCTAAAAGGTTGGTTCATCAAATTGATGAACCAACTCGGACACAGCATATTATTTGAGAACACAGAAATACTGGACCACTCCAACAACCACCATGTTAGACTATACACAGAGAAGCCATTGAAATCCACAAGCATATGGACAATTTCAACAGAAAGGAGGAAACCACGAAAGTGAACAAAATCTGGCTACCAATATTTTAAAAACCCCTCTGAATTCAGGACAGTAAATAAAGAGCAGTATGGAAAAAAATGGAAATTCCAGACAAGAAACAATCAGGGCCAGCTAATCATCTTCCAACAAAGGATTCTCCCCAGGCAGGAAGCAGCCAGGCTTTGAAGCTGCAAGACCATGCAGTGCTAATCAAGATGGCCAATTGCAACATTCACACCTGCCTCAAACAGACAAGAGTTCTTTCTCCCAACCTGGGCATGCCACAGATATATAAACCACACTTGCCTAGTTTCCAACACACCTCACAAACTCTGGGGATGCCTCCCATAGATATGGGTGAAATGTCAGGAGAGAATGCTTCTGGAACATGGCCATATAGCCCTGAAAACTCATATTAAGCCAAGGATGTTCCAGTTTCAAATCTCTACCACGCTTAGCTGCTACATCGGGATAATATGCGTTTTCCTGGAATAATTCCTTAGAATATCTGGTATAAGGTTTCTTCATGTCCTCTTATTGATTGGAATTACTATGTGAAAACCGTACACAGAAATTGCCATTAATACAAATAAGAAATCAAGCTTAAAAGAGTGATTTATGTAAATTGATTGTCTCAGGGGTAACAACAATAGGAAATGACAGTCTTAAGAGGCTGTGGTGATCATTCTTGTGAGAATTGGGATGTGGATGCAATGTGAATATGCCAACCCAGTGGTATCTTCATTACAATAAGTGTTAACCATGAAGAGATCAGATTTTGCAATCTCTTCATTACATTAACCGGGTGTTTTCACATTATTATTATTATTATTATTATTAAACTTTATTTGTACCCTGCTAGCATATCCCAAAGGATTCGATGCGGCTTACACAGGCCAAGGCCTCAACACACAACACAACAATACAATCTAAGCAAATCAAACAATTAAAAACAGAATAAAGCAAAATAAACAACAGGCACAATACACTAAACACAATAAAACTGGGCCGGGCCAGAGCAATGGGTACAAGATTAAAAGTGCTGATGTGACAGGAGGTGTATATAGGGCTTCCAGGGCAAGTGCGATATGCAGCAATCATTGTTTCTGATAAAGTGCTTATGGGACTTGGTAGTGGAGATTTCCTAATCTGGGAAGGCGCATCGGAAAAGCCAGGTCTTCAAGTTCTTTCTGAAGACAGCCAATGTAGGGGCCTGTCTAAGGTCTTTGGGGAGGGTGTCCCAGAGTCGGGGGGCTACCACCGCGCTTGCGACGCCGGTGGGATCACGAGCAGGGCCTCTCCAGATGACCGTTAATGCAATGTTGCAGTTAATGCAAGAGTGACCTATGTGCGGCATTTCAGTGTTGTTAAACTGCACGTTTCATTGTTCCTGGTCACAGTGGAAGATGCTGGGAGTTGCAGTCCAACAAACACTGTCATCATCCTGAATCAGTGTAGCATCACATGTTTATTTTGAACATCTAGGGTTGAAGTCACTGTTCATTTGCATGTTTTAGGGGGGTTATTTTGTAGAAAATTAAAGATCTTGGTATATTTTAAGGATTAGTTAGCAAGTAATATGAACACTTCCATATCAGACCCAGGGTGCAGAGGTGTTTTTTGTACTTCTTCCTTTGCTGTAGGAACTGGGTTTTTTTATGAGTCAGTGCTACAGCTTTGAGCAATCTGCAGAATCAGCCCATGTAATGAACAACAGAAGCATGGCATGAGCTCACAGAAAATATACTTCCGTACTACTGCTCAGAACTGCAAACAGCATTTAGTCAATATGAGACAGATGTAGTGGATCGATGTTTACCACAGCCTTAATTTTAGTTATAGCTTTATGATCCAGATGGCATGTTGTCAGCCTGTGTGTCCCATGTCTCCATCATGCCTGATTAAAAATTCAAACTTATGTAGACTTTTGTCGGAGTTCTTTTTCCTTTATCCAGTTGAAGGTGGTGGATCTTGAGAATTTTTCAAAAACGATTGGGTATAAGCATCATTTGTTTATTACTAAAATGAAATTTCCAAATTGTAGGTTGTAAGTGTCTCCTCTTAAAAAACAAGATAGTAATCACTTATTTTGTGAACATAAAGTCTTATGACTCATGCCCCCATTGGTGCAATGGGTTAAACCCTTGTTCTGGCAGGACTGCTGACCCAAAGATCAGCGGTTCAAATCCAAGGAGCAGGGTGAGCTCCCGCCTGTCAGCTCCACCTTCCCATATGGGGACATGAGAGAAGTCTCCCATAGGATGGTAAAACATCCGGGCATCCCCTGGGCAACATCCTTGCAGATGGCCGATTCTCTCACACTAGAAGCGACTTGCAGTTTCTGACACGGAAAAAAAAACCTGAAGTAGACACAACTTTAAAGAGACCTCAAGCCTAAGGACACTGCATAATATTCAGTGCAGTGCAGTGATGCATGCTGCAAGTCACTTCTGGTGTGAGAGAAATGGCCATCTACGAAGACGTTGCCCAAGGGACGCCCAGATGTGTTGCAATCCTGTGGGGAGGCTTCTCTCATGTCCCCCAGGGTAGTGGTGATATCACTCTGCTTTTCACCACATGCTAAAGAACAGATTAGGATCCCTGCTGTTAACCAGGAATAAAACTGGAAAGTTAGGCATAGGTGCTAGTATGTAAAGAATACAGTACATGTTGAGCATCCCTTAGCTGCAATTCCAAAATACTCCCAAATTTAAAATTGCCCACATGGGTAGCTGAGATAGTGACAATTTTGCTTTCTGATAGTTCAGTGTGCACAAATCTTTTTTCATTATATAACATTACATTTAGAGGAAGTGTGTTTGAAACAAATCAGTTTCGTGTTTAAACTTGCGTCTCATCCCTAAAATATCTTATCTACATAGATAATGTAAACAACCATTTAAAAAAATCCAAAACACTTCTGATCCCAAGCATTTTGGATAGGACACATTCAACCTATGTGACTCCTTTATCCAAATAGGATACAATCTCAACTTGCAGTGGAAACTGGAAACCATGGATAAAAGCAAACCCTATGGAAATGAATGGCTTCTGCTAGAAGCAATGTACAGTAACCTGGAGAACCTAGTACTGCATACTCAGTTTTAGGATTCACTGCTTGGCTATGGAAACCCAATGGGTTACCTTGGACAAGTTACACCACACTCTCAGCCATAGAAAACCCTATGATAAGGTCACCATGACGTTACCATGTTTCAGAAACTACTTGAAAGCACACAGCAACAGCAATAACTGCACCGATAACAGGATATTGGGGATAGTGAGACACTGGGAAAGGCCAAATTTGCCAATTTTATCTAACCTTAAGGAACAGAAATTGAAAGATCTTGAAAGACTTGATTAAACAGCAACTTTCATAAGAATAAGTTCAGGTTTTTTTTAAATAGAAGGAAACAGAAGAATCTAAAAATACGGACAGATTCCTTAATTTTTTTAAAAAAAAACCATACTGATATTAAAAACAAATATTGCTTACTTTGTTCTCTCCTTCTCTCTAAAAATACTAAAAGTGGGTGCATCATCAAGAATACTCCTTCTTTCTACAAAAATAATAATGATAATACTTTTTACATTTTTTAAAAATAAAGAGCCTTAGAATATTTACACTGAGAACAGAGAGGCTGGAAAGTAAATTAGAATGGAGAGTATAAAAAATAGCAAGTAGTAATCTGTAATAAAAATTATCTTCATTCAGATAATCTGCAATTAAAATTAATATTGAGAGAGAAAGATGAATGTTCTGTAAGTGAAGTCAAAGGAGCTCCAGAACTGTTACTGTGTCCTGGGAAATTATAAATGAATCCTTGATCTTGTTTATTTGACATATATTTCTCACCAACGGGTGACATCTGCTGATTTAAACAGTGAAGGGCTCCTTATAATGCATCAGGAGAGAACAAAGGCTGATGAGTAATCTGAGTGTGCAAAAAGAATGCAAAGTGTAAGAACTTTTTTTTAAGTATCAGGATCAGTTATTTTATAGGTCAGCAAACCTAACTGATTTTCATAGCTGGATTCTGTGTATATAAAGTCAAAGGTTTCTTTTCAGTATTTTGGAATATCTTTTAAATCGGCTGAATATTGGGAGTGATACTTTACTATGCTGTGGTTACAGCTGGCCCACAGATTCAACCATTCACAGGGGGTTTTTTTTGTATGAATTGTTTATTGTACCACCCATAGGCCATGACATCAAATAATATACAACCTTTAAAAGTACAATAAGCACTCTCCAATATAAACATTAAAACTTACTCCATATACTGGCTCTTTAAAATTACAACAGCAGTGACATGATAACAATAACAATGTCTGATGGGTATCACCCCAAACTATCTCCATTCAGAGTTTAAATTTTGGGTTGCTGTAAGCTTTTCGGGCTGTATGGCCATGTTCCAGAAGTATTCTCTCTTGACGTTTCACCTGCATCTATGGCAGGCATCCTCAGAGGTTATGAGGCAAAATGTCAGGAGAAAATGCTTCTGGAACATGGCCATATAGCCCGAAAAGCCTACAGCAACTCAGTGATTCCTGCCATGAAAGCCTTTCGACCATACAGTTTAATTTTTTTTTAATTCAAAAAGCAAATGTTTATTTTGCCGTTTTATATAAGAGGCACTATTCTACTCCTCCATTGTATCTAACAGCACTTGAGCATCCATGGGCTATAGTTTTTACTGAGTGTCCTGGGACCAAACCCTAGCAGATACCAAGGGCCCACCATTTGTGTTTTCTTCGTTTGCAGTTACCCATTTTGGGGGGCAAATACTTTTTGGTTCACAGGTGGGTGGTTCAGAAGACTACTCAAAGGGACTTGGTGGGACTGCATGTAGCTAATAAATTACCCGGTTTTTACCCAGAGATAAAAGAAGTTCTGTTGACATATAATCTGGTCATTTCCATATTTATCGACTGAACTGTCACCACCTGTTCTAAAGTCCTGAAAGATCACTAAAGTCTTCTGTTCTTTTTATTTACTTTTAACTCTTATTTGCAAACACGTATACTACTTCAAAAGCTGTAGAAACCCCTAGCATTGTTGAATAGTTTCATTTTGCTTTCAAAACATTTGTAAACTCTACTGTTAAGGAGAGAGGGAGACTTATATACCCAAGCAACCTTTTTAAAACTATGTTACGTTTTTGGCATCTAGAATAGCCATTTTTCAAAACTGGAAGCAACCACTTGCTCACTTCAGGTGTCAGGAAAATATATGAGTCAGTCTAGGGCAGTGGATCCCAACCTGTGGGTCACAACCCATTGGTGGGCCACAAAACCTAAAATAAGGTCAGCGGCTCCAGATTATTAAAGATAGTTTTCTATCGGCGAGCAGGTGGCAACTACTGGATGACATACCTTGTGTATCAGAAACTAGAGCTGTTGTGATCTATCCAGTGTGTTTTCTGAATCAGCACCCCAAATAACCAAACCAAATCTAAAGTTGATCAAAAACTGATTCGTAACCCTTCTGATACTAATGCTGGAGAGTGATCTCTGGTCAAAGTGGTCCCTGTTCAAGTGGTCTTTGGTCAAAGTGGTACCTGGTCAAAAAAAGGTTGGGAACCACTGATCTAGAGGCTTTGAGAAGATGGAAAATGCTAACATAGCCCTCCTTTGCCAATGGCAAAATTAAACAGGAAGCAGGACAGCGTCAGGGCCTCACTCTGGGTTTGGGGGAGTACTTTTTTGGACTACAGATCCCACAATGCCCCAGTCAACATGGTCAGCACAAGGAAAATAACATGGCCTTCTTGCATAAGCTGAAAAATCGCATCTTTAGTTGTTCATTGCCACCAAAAGAAAAAAAATGTGTTACATTTTAATGTATTGTTTTTGACTGAGCTGCATTCAGATATGGTTGAAGCAGCAGATGGGGTTGTCACAGTTAAAATAGATAAAATAGATGAGCTTCTTCACAGCCATCACCAGCAACTGTTTGCATAAAATGTTTAGTGTGTATGTGTATGTTTGTGTCAGAGGAGAGAGAGGTAGAAAGTCTGGTAGAGCTCTATCATTTGTGGGACGTCTGGATGCCGTTGGAATGTCGGTTACATCTTGTTGTATCATAGATTTTATTTCTGTTGCTTTGAGGCAGGAAAGGATTTTTTTTTCCTCCCACTTTTTTTCAGTCCGCTCCCTCTGTCTCTTCTTTAGTATTTGAAACTGTAAGACTAAATCTGGTGCAGGATAACCTTTAATATTGCACTGTAATTTGGTTCCCCGGTGGCGCAATGGGTTAAACCACTGAGCTACTAAATTTGTTGACCGAAAGGTCGCAGGTTTGAATCCAGCATGAGCTTCTGCTGTCAGCCCCAGCTTCTGTCAGCCTAGCAGTTTGAAAACATGCAAATGTGAGTAGGTCAATAGGTACCGCTCCAGCGGGAAGGTAACGGCACTCCTTGCAGTCATGCTGGCCACATGACCTTGGAGGTGTCTATGGACAATGACGGCTCTTCGGCTTAGAAATGGAGATGAGCATCAACCCCCAGAGTTGGACAAGACTGGACTTAATGTCAGGGGAAAACCTTTAACTTTACCTGACTTGCTTACCTAAGGCCCAATAATGCCAGCAGCTGCCTAGTTGTGCGGAGATAACTTGCCTCCTTTGCCACACTGAAATATCCACTTGTTTTTGCCCATCTCTGTGTTTCTGGTTATTGGTTTTTGTCATGTATTGTTTGGGTGAGTCTTAATGCTGTTGTTTTATACTCTTAGGTTTTACTTAATTGTGTTTTTGTCTGATGGTATCGAATTGTTATGTTTTGCTATGTTTTATTTTGATCATGTTTTTTGTTTTAATTATGGAGAATGGATATGGAAATTGAGAGGGAAGATATCCAAAGGAAAATAAGTAATGTAGCAAAGGAAAAGTAGTGTGTATTTAGGGAAGCAAGAAGGAAGATGTTACAAAAATGGCACAGGACTCCTGCACAACTTTCACATTTTTTACCAGGGTAAAGGACTGGTTTTGGCATGGTTGTAAACAAAGAGGTGTGTTTAATCACATGATATGGGAATGTGACAGATTACAGGCATATTGGAGAATGATTGAAGGAGAAATTAATAGAATGTTACACGCAAGGTTACCAGGAGTGTATAATGTGCAAAAGGGCAGAGTGATTGACAAATTAATAGCATGTGCTCAAATTCTTTTACTGAGGGGTTGGAAAGATAAAACAAAGTGGACTCTAACAAATTGGTACAATTATGTAGTAAATATGTTAAATGTGGAAATAAAAAAATGTAAATTGAACAATATAGACAAAATAGAAAATTCTATAATGATTAAGAACATGTGGGATCCAGTTAGGAATTATTTAGATAATGTATTAAGATGTAAAGTGGAAAAATGTGACTAAGACTGATATTTCAAATGTAATTTCTGTAGTTTATTGTATAAATTCTATGACTAGGGTGGAGGGTGAAAGTGGGATAAACAATAAAATAAAATAAAAATTTCAAAAAAAAATGTTTTTTGTTTTAATGCATTGTTTTGCTTGATGTCTTGTGGACATTTTGTCCCATGTGTAAGCCGCCCAGAGTCCCTTTGGTTGGGGAGATGAAGGTGGGGTATAAAAATAAAGTAGCAGTAGTAGTTGATGTTGTTGTTGTTATTATTTAAATTCATTTTCTTTCCACAGCTGATGCAATTGAAAGCCATCTAGTCTAGCCTCAGCACTGACTCAAGAAAGTTCCCATCTCAAAGTTGCAAGATGACGGATGAGCCTATCAAGGAGATCCTGGGGGGCTCCAAATGTCCTCAGTGTGCGACGCTGGAGAAAATAAACAACAATGACTGCCGGGTCACCACTGTCCCTTTGGTGAGTGAATGCCAGCTGACAGCCACCACGGGAGGAGCTGAACTCTCCTGCTACCGTTGCACTGTCCCATTTGGGGTGGTGATCCTTATTGCTGGAGTGGTGGTCACCGCCGTGGCATACAGCTTCAACTCCCATGGATCCATCATCTCTGTGCTGGGGTTGTTCCTATTGTCGTCCGGACTCCTTTTGCTGGCCTCGAGTGCACTGTGTTGGAAAATCAGACAACGGAACAAGAAGGGAAAGAGGCGGGAGAGCCAGACGGCTCTAGTAGCAAATCAGAGGAACCTCTTTGCTTAAAAACTGCAAGTGAAAAGAAAAGAGCAGAGGATTGTTTGATAAACACATCTATTTATTTGCAGTTGGGTTGTAGGATCACTGAGTAATGGCTGAAATGGATTACAAATGAGATCTAATAAGACTGTGGGAAGTTCAGGCATCACCGTTACCTATTTTGTCACAAGATGCTTTAGGTTTGATGTTCTGGGAGTTCAGTTTTCTTTTCAGATTATGTTACCATATCTGGCATCATTAAGTTCAAATGTCAGTAATTTCAAACTTTTAGTAATAATACATATACCACTCATTGATCTGTAGTGCAAGAAAGGCCAAGTTTTCACACAGGAGTGCCTGCACAGAAAACAAACTACACTGCATGGTTAAAGATAGGAGTGATCAATTGATAACAAGCATATTTAATACAAAAGGAAGATCATAAAAGGAAGGCAAAGTGCAATGCAACTATCATGTAGTAGAACATGCAAGTTGATAGGCATGCAAGTGACAAATAACTATATTTAGCATTCTTCCCCTTAAGGAAGCGTCTTCTATAAAAATTTGGGTAGAAGTGTGCATAGATAATCTTCTTTATATCAAAGAGTGATTGATTCTGTCTTCTGTGGAATCTGATTACCGGCAATAACTTGTAATGGCAAATTCTGCACACTACTCAACAGAAATGGTCAAGAAAGGGGTAAAATACCCTCCACATCAGCTGTCTCTCTGTTCCAAGTTCCCCTAGGAAAAATGGCATTTGGTCTTAGGTTACAGACAACAAGTCATGTGTAACTTGTAGATCAAGCTTAGGGGATGATCATCAGAATTTAAAAATAACAGTTTCCTGGAATGTCATGTTGATTGCATGGTTGTTTGGTCTGTAAAGGTTGGAAAATGCAATGGTCTTCTTGCCTCCCATCTCAACAGGGATAGTAGCCTTAACATCTCATATTTCCCCTACACCTCTTATAACATAGGAAGAACTTTTCTTTCTACTCCCAGCCCTGGAGAACTGTGTTACTTTCTAAGGTGTTGGCAAATGCTTGGACCGTATTGCAGAAGAATGTGGGCAAATCCAGGAAAAGATCTGAACAGACCTAAAAGTGCCAGGAACCTGCTCCAAAGTCATGTTCACTAAGTACTGTTTTGCTTTCCTTTTCAAGACGAGAGGCCCAGATGTGGCTTTGATCAACATAGCATTGTTTATTTTTATAAAAAAAGAAACTGTGAAACTTGCATAAGCCAGTACTTTGATATCAGCTCAGCAATTCATTTTGTTCCTATGATGTTTATCTGTGGTACTTTTTAAAAAAGTAATATTGAACATTATTATTATTATTATTATTATTATTATTATTATTATTATTATGGGGGCTATTATTGCTTATACACAGATTGCTCTATGTACCTATTTGCTTAAAGTAAACAGCAAAGTATGTGTATAGCTCAAAAGGTGATTCCCCCTTTCCCCTTTGGTAAATTTAACTATTATCACACTTTCATACCTAGCACTTTGGGATGGTTTTGATATTGAAACCTGCATTTTTAGAAATTGTACCCTTCATTTTGAAATAATAAACAACCCTTGCTGCTAAAGCTTTAGAAAATCAGATCATTTTCATTCTGACCGTGAGCTGCTTGGATCCTCTGAAGAAGAAGAATATGTTCCCATATTATGATAAATGTATTACAGGGCCAGAATCAGCTTAGTGTCCAAAATTAAATGCTGTATTTTCAGCTTGGTATGGTGGTATATCAATCACCTGAATCATTCTAGAGCAGGGGTGAGAATACAGGCAGCTCTTAAGATTCTACTTTTGAACTTCAGGTCACCCTTTGACTTAGGACCTCATCACATTAGCCAGGCAAAGTGTTCACCAGTAAACTGAAGAGCAGTGGGGTGAATCTGTCATCTGGCATGCCACTCCATCGCAGCAATGCTTCCCCCATTACTTGGGGAGCCAGCATAACACAGAAGGCTACTGTGTTTGGAGTGAAGCTTCCTGCGACACTTCCACTCTGGTTATGAATGGGGCCTCCATGGGAAATCCAGCGATATCATGTGGTGGGCAGCATGGCCATCTGTCACCAGTCTGATGGGGAAGTGTTTTAGAACGATAAAAAAGCCCAATGTGGTATAGTGGTTAGTGTAGTTCCAGAAAATTTGGAAGGTTGCTCAATTCTCAGATCTGTTTTTAAAATGGGTTGTGTAAAATAAAGAAATTGTCACTAAAGAAGAAAAAGCTCAAGTACAATCAGGCTTCTTCATTCAATGGAGTTAGGAACACAGGACCCCTGCAATACTGGGAAAACAAAGAATTAAACAAATCACTTTATTTGACTTGAAAGAAAAGCTCCCTAGGAATCTCTAGGTCCTTTCGTTCATTGGAATCACAGTAGAGGTACCTAGATATAACATTAAATTAAATCCGTGAATAGTCAAATCAGCTTAAAAAAAAACCTGCCAAATATGGATGACAACAACAATAATAATCCAGTACAGGAGGTCCCAGTGGTCATCGGCACACTGGGTGCCATGCCAAAAGATCTCAGCCAGCATTTGGAAACAATAAACATTGACAAAATCACGATCTGTCAACTGCAAAAGGCCACCTTACTTGGATCTGCACGCATCATTCGAAAATACATCACACAGTCCTAGCGTATATATCTCATTTGCTGTGACATACTGTGTTTTTGTGTCAATAAAATAATAATAATAATAATAATAATAATAATAATAATAATAATAATAGCTTGAGGTGGGGTATAATATAGTAAAACACCCCGATAAAATACATCACCAATATATATGTCTATTAAAATAAATAGTGTCAAGATTAAAATACAATATTAATAGAATGTAAATTTACAGTTTAAAATTGACTGCGTGGGCCTGTGCTATTTTCTTAAGAGAGCAGATCCATATAAAAATGTAATCGTTTCAGTAAATTTCAGGCAGATGAAAATAGTGTTTCTTCTTTCAAATGGCAAATGAATTCATAGATTTCACTGTCACAAGATGTGGGGATAGCTGCTAGTTTGTAGATTTATTAATCAGTTGCCAAAAAACCACAAAAAGAGCAGTTCCTATCATGCAAGGAAAAGGCTTCTGCCTTCGTGCTGGCCTTGACTACCATTCCCTAATTCTAAAATTCAACACAATTCCCTTGTAAAATGACACTACCACCAGTTAGTGGGAGGCTATGCAGGAAAGAGCTGACCTCTTATTATACAGTATGCTTTGCAGAAGATTCCACTTGACCACTGTGTGAAAGTTAGCTGCTTAGCTAGATGAGCATCTGGTTTAATTGCAGCCGGAATATCTATATGCCAGACTTTTGGTGGAAGCCAGCATGATGTAGTGGTTTGAGTGTTGAACTATGATGCTGGAGGCCAACGTTCACATCTCTGTTCTGCTATTCAAACCCACTGTGTGACCTTGGTAAGTCATATCTTCTCAGGAGAGCAGAGACAAACCTCATGTGAACAAATCTTGCCAAGAAAACACTATGATAGTATTCACATAAGTCATAAATGACTTGAAGGCACACAACAACAACAGCAGACTATCTGTGCATGTAGCCCAATTCTAGCTATTCTGCTTGATAGTTGTTGAGGGGCTAATAGTGCCACCACTCCCATTCAGTCTGAGCCCTCCCTTCTGTTCTCTTTTGAAGAACAGGTATATGCATGCTACATTACCTATCCTGGTCACTGTAAACAACCCTGCTTCCTTAGGTACAGAGGATGGTGCCTGAAGTAAGATTTGCTTCCATATTTTTTGTGTCAGGAATGACTTGAGAAACTGCAAGTCGCTTCTGGTGTGAGAAAATTGACCCTCTGTAAGGACGTTGCCCAGGGGACGCCTAGATGTTTGATGTTTTACCATCCTTGTGTGAGGCTTCTCTCATGTCCCCACATGGGGAGCTGGAGCTGACAGAGGGAGCTCATCCACACTCTCTCCGAATTTGAACCTGTGACCTGTCGGTCTTCAGTCCTGGTGGCACAAGGGTTTAAGCCACTACGCCACTGCGGGCTCCTTTGACTTCTGTGGATAAAATGAAGAGGGAGCATCAGCTTATACTTCACCTCAGTCAGCATAATTTTTTTGTCCAATTGTGGCAGTTGCTTCCCTGAAATCTCTGGGTTCTCAACCAGGATCCCCAAGAACCTTATAGGTATCACAAGAGATTGTGATTTTTTAAAAAACCTGAGCTGTAGAGATATTTTTTGCAGCTTTCCCTAAGACCAGTATTTCAATGGTTCCTCCAGGGTAAAAACATTGACAGAGGCTGCTGAGAACCATGACTTAGACAAACAAATGTGGCCGATTGTCAACGTAATGACTCCCTGCCTTGTCCTTTTTTGAACTACATTCTCCTCATGACATACCGGACGTGACTTCTTAATTCCCCTTTCCAAGATGTCCCAGGAAATACTACTGAGAAAAGGAAGGTGAAGGTCTTTGCTGTGGAGGCGGGGTGGCAAACAGAGCTCTGTACATGCTTTAAAGTGTTTTAAGATACTCAGTGTAGTTGGTTCTATGAATTTCAGCAGATACCTCTTGTACAGACTATTGTTGCAATAAGCTAGAAAAGGAAGAACAAACTCACATTGCTCCTTAAGCAGAGTTTGGAGAAGTCCTTTTACTTTTACAAATCCTGCAAGTTGCTTCTGGTGTAAGAGAATTGCCCATTTGCAAGGACGGTGCCCAGGAGACGCCAAGGTGTTTTGATGTTTTACCATCCTTGTGGGAGGCTTCTCTCATGTCCCTGCATGGGGAGTTGGAGCTGACAGAGGGAGCTCATCCACGCTGTCCCCGGATTTGAACCTCTGACCTGTCAGTCTTCATTCCTGCCGACACAAGGGTTTAACCCATTGCGCCACTAAGACACAGTGTGTTTTTGCTCTCATAAGTCAGGTCCGGATGTTATTGTTAGGAGAAAGCTTCTGGGTTCAGCAACTTAGTTTCTTAGTCCTTTTTTCCCCTGCATGTTGAATTTGAGGCGTATCCAGAACTTCGTTTGAGTAAGAGCATCCCAATATATTTTCAGTGTTGAGATTCAATTCTGTAGCAGGGATCACATTGTAATCATAAACTCCATAGATGTCACACATAGAGCTTCAATCTTTTCTGACTGAGTAAACACAATTGATCTAGACTGGCAGACCCATCT